ATCAGATGTAATCATAGAAATGTTAAATTTGTGTATGTGGTGTGGCAAAGTTTTAAGGTGGCATATGCATGTACTACAAATTAACCTGTGTGTGTCACTACTGTAATCAAGAATTGATAAAGAATTGATAGGAATTTACTGAGAAGTTGACTTCTCCATAGGACCATCCTGTGAAAGCTGTCAGAGTTTCCCATTGTGTCACCCATCTGTGACTCCACTGGCCACAGCTGCCAAAAGATGACACTGAGCCCAGGTGAAGCTGGTTTTAAAGTGGGTTTGGACATTTGCTGTCATCAAGAAATGTGGCAAGACGTGGCTCAGGCTGCTGAACACTCCGTTAATTGATAAAGCTTTGTCAAATTGCAGCATTCTTAGCTGGTGTTCCTGGGCTTGTCTGCCCAGCAGGCTTAATTCACCCCAGCTACATCTGAGCTTCAGACAGAAGCAGCAGCACCACTGCAGAGTTAACACTGAATTAAGCTCACTGATGCATAAATCATATACCCACCCATGTAAAGCACTGGTGCATACACACAAGTTTTAGTCTTGTTCTGAGTGGATACATGAAAATTATTTCTTAATGGGCTATAAGGAGAACTTCTGTGTCTTGTGGATGTGCAGGCAGCCCTCTGGGAGTGCTGGGATGAGTTGAGGAGCACAGGCAGGAGAGCTCAGCACGCTCGTCTCAGAGTCCTGCAATGCCCCACGGGGTACTTTCAGGTGGTGATTCTCTGGCCAGCCTTGACAAAGAAACTTGGTGAAAAGAGTACCCAGATTTTACAAAGTTTTGGGACTTTGAAATTATTACTTCCCAGATACATTTAAATCCGAGAACAATTTTTAAATACCTTACATAAAAAGCAATAATGGAAGTTTATGTTCTTCTTCCTAGTTGTGTTTCTTTAATTGTGGTCCCCAACTGCAGTCTTCCAGAACAGAGTTTGCAGAAGAGGTAAGGATTTGGTACCTAATTTAAAGTCTGTGGAAATTGTGAGTATTCATCATCTCAGAAAATGAGCACATGATTTTCTCATGCTAAATACCCAAAATTATTAGATTTGAAAATATCTTCCTTCCCATATCTATATTTCCAGTTTCCAACAGTTAACTCAGAGCAATTCTTCCTCATATAAGAGAAGTTTGGAAAATATGTGCTGTGTAAAGTTTGGGTAGTGAACAGGTAAGGATGTTTTTCATTAACTACCATCTAACTTGTGATATCTAATATGATCTTGTACAATTAATACATTCTCATAGCATGATTAAACGGCATAATTTAATTGTGCCAGCATATATCTCAGCTCCTAAGGGTTTAATTTCACCAGCTTGTTGCCAGTGCTACCACTGGAACAGGGCGTTGAGCCCCACAAAAACAGTGTGCCACAGATACAATGTAACAGTTGCAGAAAATAACAAGCAATCAAAAGCTGAAAGTTACAAACAAACCACTCCTCCCCTCAGCAAATAGAACTAAACCAGAGAACTAGAAAAAACCCGTTTTTTTTCAGATTGAAAACAGAGAAAGCAGAAATAGTGTTTAAAATTTCTAGAAAGAGTTAATAAAACTAACTAAAACCAGAGAAAATTATTAAGGCTTAGTGAAAAAAAAAGTTGTAAACACTGGAAATGAAATGGGCAAGGGCCACTGACAACATAAAAAGGAATTATTTTGATACGAGTGATTTGAGCAATGCAGAGCTTTCTGAAATAAATGTCTGCTTTCCAGAAAACTATGTCTCTGTAGATCCTTAGAGTGTATACTCTAAATGGATTCTCTTTTTAGCTTTAATAAAACATAAATATTGATGCAGAGACATTTTTGGAGAACCTCTTTAACATGCCTAGGTTTTATGTAACACCTTTCACATTACCATGTTTTTAATTTTTCAGTGCAATGCTGTAGAAGCCTGTGTATCCTTGACATTCCACTCGCCCTGGTGAATTTTCCTGTGTCACTGAGCACTTCTAGAAAACCTGCCCCCAATATTTATTAAATTTGATTTAAGGTGCAGTTTACCTGAACCGGTCTCACTAGGTTTGCTTTATTTATACCAGAGCCTAGGATGCTATTTGTCCCATCATAATGTAGAAGTCTAAAATGACATAAATTACTTGCTTAATTCAAAATAAAAGGGGGATCTAAAATAACTGGCTCAGCTCTAGAAACCTACTTTGTCGATGCAGAATTAGCCTCTTTTAGAATCTCCTTAACTGCATCTTAAAATAAAAGTCACCATAATATTGCTCACTCCTGGAAGGCAAGTGTAATAAGTAACCTCTGCAGTGAATGGATGGAAAGGAGATGTCCAGAAAACAGTCTGGGTGTTTGTCACGTCATAAACATTTTTGTATTTTCATGCTCTTTGGCTGTATCTATACTCACCTGTGTGACACCACACCTCTGTAGAAAAGAACTGTTGGTGCTGAGGACTTGATAGCCACACGATGTGATTTTCAGAGGTTTTACTTCAGACCTTTGATCCCGTGAACATTAATTAACAGTTGATGGGCTGGACTACCTGCTGATGGAATTGGCTGATTATTACTTAATTACTTGAGAGCCTAAAATAGTTGTATTTTTTTTTTTTTTTAATTAAGGTCAATTAGATGTGATACTTTTTTAGTGTACATAGAATTAACATATTTTGGACTACCATAATTAGGTAAACCTGATACCTACATGCAGTTTTACAAAGATACAGAAATATGCACTCTCACAATCTCTTATTAATGTAGATTACAGAGCACTTTTAGCATATGTCTTTAGATCTTGATTTTCTGCTTTCTAACAAAGTGCCTCTTAACTCAAGACATATTTAAGCTTGCTTCTGCAGAACTGAGGAACTGGACTTGACTTTTAATAAAAAAGCAGCCCAAGCAATATTTTTCCACAGTCAAGGAAAAAAAGATATTTAAGAATTTGAAGTTAGTGTTTTTATACATGCACATGTAGAAGTACATCTCTGGCTCTCATCCAGCCCGAAGAATTTTGTTCTGGAAGTTACAAGGAGAAGTGTAAAAGAATCTGCAGTCACTTTTCAGAACACAACTTCACTGTACCAGCTGGGTATTTCCAATGTTGCTATTTTCAGCTGGAAAGGAAAAAACCAGGAGTACTTGAATAGCATGTAATAGAGGATACAGGTATGAAAACTCTCTTGCATAATAAGAGCTGTGTGGCATTTCTGTAATTTAATATACAAACAAACGTGGGTTGAAACCAAACACGGATTTCTTCTGACAGGAAAAATACTCCAAATAACAGAAAAAAAAGGTATTAGAATTATAAATGTGTTACACTTTGACTGATGGAGCAATTATATTAGTAATTACTACACTGAATGTGGTGTTTTTTCTGAGTGACAGTTATTTTTCTTACCCTTTCTATCCCTCACATACCTGAACTTCCTAAGAAAAAAGAAAAACAACTTGAATTAGCTATTTATAGTGAGCTATTTTTAAGATGAACACAGATACCTTTTACAAAGAAAATAAAAAACATGTACTTAAAAGTATTTTGTATGATTTAACGGTACACGTGCACCTAAGGGAAAAACAGTAACCAGATTATATAACAGCCTCAGGAGATACTACTTATTTCTTTGTAATCTAGTAATTGTCTGTTAAAGGATCTCTTAAGAGCAATCTTTGCGCACGGAAGGGATATTGTTACTAAGAAATAAATACTTTTAAGTTGTTCCAATATGTAAGAATGGGTGGGTTCAGGTGTATTAGAAAAGAGATTCCCAGAGGGAAACTGCCACAAGACAATTCAAGTGCAAGTTTCTGTAGCGTTGCACGTTAAATTAACCCACAGTACATTTGGAAAGGGGGAGGAGAAACATGCTTTGGGAATTGGATGTCTTTCTCCTGGTCTTAGGAATGACAATAGCTATCCCTCTGCCACACAGCTTGAGGAGCCACAGTAAATCAATAAAAAAAGTTGTATTTTTGAACCTAACTTTTCATGGTTTTACACGTTTTCTGATGTACTTCTGAACCATTCCCCCTCGCCTGTCAGTCCCATGGCCTTTCTCCCGTGGAAACTGGAGGCGGCTTTGAAACATGCAGAGTTTTTGGCTCTGGGACAGGCCCCAGGAAGCAGGCCCGTTTCCCTGCGGAAGGGAAGGAAGCCCTTAGTCTCTGTGAGTGAGGCGGTGGAAGACCAGGAGCTGTGGGCGCTCTGCGGCTGCTTAGCCCTGGCCCCGTGCGAGCCCCAGGGGTGCCTGCCCCAGCAGAAGGAGGCCATCTCCTTCACGGGAAATACCCGAGCTCGGAGCACACAAAGACTTTAAATTACTTGGTCTCCACAGTGGGTTTACTTATTTATTTTGAGTTCAAAGCTTTTTGTTGCCGTTTTCACCCACGGAGACGGCCAGGCCGGGGGCGGGTGGCCAAGGCCGAGGCCTCTTTCACCCCGGCAGTGGTTTATCCGCGGCCGGGAGTCCCCGCTGGGAGCCGGGGGCCGCCTGCTCCCTCAGCACCGGACACCTCCATCTTCTGGCGACACGGGAACCGCCTCACAACAACCCCGTGCACCGAGACATGCGGGGAAAAGGCCGGAGGACGCAGCCCGGGGGTCCCGAAATGGAGTCGCGGGGGCCCCGCCTCAGGCCGGAGGGCAGCGCGCAGGCGCGGAGGAAGGAAGGGTCACCAATGGAGGCGCAACGCGTGCGCGGAGCGCCTGTCGGCGCATGCGCCGTGAGACCCCCCGCGCCGAGGCGCTGCGCGGTATTGCGGCCCCCCGCGCTTGCCGTAGAGTGGGCTGTACCAAACGCTTCTCTTCGAGGCGGGGGGGGGGAGAAAGGCGGTGTCGGAAAAGTGACGGTGCGCCGGGACCTGTGGGCCACCGCCCATCCTGTGGCCGGCGGGGCGAGCCCGGGGGCGGCGGGGTGAGGTAAGAGGCGTAGGTGAGAGTAAGCGCTGAGGGAAGGAGGGTGGTGGAGGTGACGGTGGCCGCCGCGCCCGTCCCCGGTAGTGGCGGCGCCGGGCTGAGGGGCGGGGCGCGAGCGGCTCGGGTAATGGCAGCGCTGTGAGGAGGGGAGCGGGGCAGGGACTGCGGCCGCAGGGCAGGGAGCGAGGGAGGCCGGCGGGTGGGCGTCGCTGACTCGGGCCTCCTTGCCGCCAGGTAACCGCCCTCACCGGGAGAGCCGCCGGGCTGAGGGGAAGAGTGTCCGGCGGTCCCCCGTCCTGTGGGCGGCCGGGCCGGGTGCGTGTGGGGGCGCTGAGGCCCTGCCTCCCGCCCGGGCCCGGGCGGGAGGCAGGGCCTCAGCGCCCCCACACGCACCCGGCCCGGCCGCCCACAGGACGGGGGACCGCCGGACACTCTTCCCCTCAGCCCGGCGGCTCTCCCGGTGAGGGCGGTTACCTGGCGGCAAGGAGGCCCGAGTCAGCGACGCCCACCCGCCGGCCTCCCCCGCTCCCTGCCCTGCGGCCGCAGTCCCTGCCCCGCTCCCCTCCTCACAGCGCTGCCATTACCCGAGCCGCTCGCGCGCCGCCCCTCAGGCCGGCGCCGCCATAAACCTACGGTTTCGGGCCAGCCTTAAAACATTCCTTAAGTTTCCAACCTATTTAACCACCCCAAGAAACAAGGCGACGAGCGAGCAGGGTGGGTGGGAAGAGCCAAGGGCAGGACTATCTGCCTCAATCGCCTGCCACCGACCCCCCCCCTTCCCTCCCGCCCCCCCCAAAAGAAGCCAAGAGCGAAACCAGGCGGAGAACCCTCCCCGCGGGCAAGGGCAAGACGCGGGGCAGCAACCGGGGCCGGGCCGGGTGCGTGTGGGGGCGCTGAGGCCCTGCCTCCCGCCCGGGCCCGGGCGGGAGGCAGGGCCTCAGCGCCCCCACACGCACCCGGCCCGGCCCCGGTTGCTGCCCCGCGTCTTGCCCTTGCCCGCGGGGAGGGTTCTCCGCCTGGTTTCGCTCTTGGCTTCTTTTGGGGGGTGCGGGAGGGAAGGGGGGGGGTCGGTGGCAGGCGATTGAGGCAGATAGTCCTGCCCTTGGCTCTTCCCACCCACCCTGCTCGCTCGTCGCCTTGTTTCTTGGGGTGGTTAAATAGGTTGGAAACTTAAGGAATGTTTTAAGGCTGGCCCGAAACCGTAGGTTTATTGGTGCGAGCAAACGTAGTCGGTGTGACAGCGGTGTGTTTTAAAGGATGAGGTGATGGAAGCAATAGCCTTTCGTTATTCTCTGTGTAAATAAGTTTCAACAGTATCTGCTTACCTTAAGGCTGCCAAACAGGTATGGTTTCCCACCCCCTGAGTAGTATAAACCCTAGAGTAGATACTCTGCTGCGCTATAATTTTTACCGTGGAGGTTATTTGCATCAGTATGAGATGTTTAATACTCTAAGCTGGTGAGCTCGCACACAGCAGACACTGAAGCACAGCAAACCCCAAAGCCCCCCGTGTCTTACAGAGAAAGTTATACTGCAATTGTCAACATGTCTACGAAATGAGTCTAAGTTCATAATTGGCACGAAAGCTGTAAGAGAATGCCAAATAACAGCCAGGTCTGTCTTAAGCTATTTAACCCCAGAATACCTTTGCGAGTATGTGGATACATAGTGCTTTACATATTATTAGGTTTTGGGGGTCTTAAACACAATATTACTGATTCTGTATGAGGTTTTGTGGGGAGGACATTTTCTTCACCCTTCCTTTCTCCCCTCAGTTGTGCTTATCTGTGAAAGGAATGGTTGTTTTACCTTGGAGATACCAAGTGAGCTTCAGAGAGAGCAGCCTCTAATGTAACACTAAGTATGACTTCATTACCAAAAGAGCTTCTTATCATTGTTAAAATGCTTATGGACCGTGGTTTTGTTGTTGTTTTTTTTTTCTTTTTTTCCTTGGGGTCAGCTGAAAATAGTCTTGTGTTTTCTAGAAGAGTAGTATTAGAGCTTTTAGAAGACTGCTGGTTGGTTTGTTTTGGGGTTTGTTTTGTTTTGTTTTGTTTTCCTGGAAGTGAGCTCTACTGCTGTTTACTTCTGCTGCGGTTCATGTTTCTCTGAAACATACATCACTTTGTGTTTTTCAACTTACTTTCTTTGATGGATATCTGTTTCTTTTGTCAGTTCTCACTGATTTTTTGTGTAGTAGACTGCTACTGACATACAGAGATTGAAGATACTTTTTTTTTATTTCCAAAAGTGGTAATAGCCATGTTGCAAATATAACAACTTAAATGTTTCTACTGAACTGAAAGTGTTTATGCACAGTTTAGCGAGCTTTTAGCTCTTCTTAAAAAAGTTTCTTGTTCATAAAAGGTTTTATGGTGTCCTGGTTCATTAAACCTAGGATAATACCACTTCCTCGATACTACTTATTTGCTACTCAGTTGCTTTGTGAAATCAAAGCAAAGGTGGGTTGGGTAATACATTGGTTACATTTTAAGCGGAAGCTGTTGTGTTGCAGGTAGAGGAGAACAACCCTCTGCGGTTCCTGAATTAGCAGTTAAGCAGCTTGGTTAGTTAGTCAGGGTGGCGTTTGGCATGCATGCAGTGTAAAAGTTGCATCTGGTTGTTTTTTGGTTTGGGGTTTTTCTTCTTTTTCTTCTTCTTTTTCTTTTTTTTTTTTTTTTTCTTTTTCTTAAACTGAGAACCTGTATACCCTGAAATTTGAGAGAACTAATCTGCCTGAGAAAAATTGAGAGGCAGTAGTGGTTAAGGTAGTAAAGCAGGTTGCTAAATGTTTGGGGTTTTTTTAGCATGACATTTGATTTTATTTTTTTTTCTTTTATAGAGGTGTGCCTCTTGTACTAAAAGTCTGTTTGTAACTAGTTTCTTTTTTCTATTCTGACCTAGAAAATTTGGGGAGACGAGAGTTACTTGTCAGTCTATTTTAAATGAAAATAGGAGTATTCTTTCCACTTTTTGTTTTAGTCCTACAATGTCGGGTTTCTGAGCAAGAACTAGACTTGCTTTGTGCATGGAATATCACACATCAGGTCCTTTCTAGATCAGGTGCATCGGGCAGAGAAAAACAGAACAAAGAAGAGGCCTTCACAGTTGTGTATCTCAGAAACGTGTTTGTTTGGTTTTTTTTTTAATTACCTTACTGTTTTCCCAGTTTTATTTCAGTAATTTAATATTTTTCATTCAATAAATGTCTTCTAGTATTTTTGATATGAAATTGCTAACACACTTTCTGTATTTTCAAGCCGTGTCTTATTTGAAAGAATTCACTATTTGTCCTGCTGCATAGTGCAATAAGGTGCACAAACTCTGCATAATGCCCTGTGTTTATCTGTGTTTTCTCTTTGTCATCTTGATCAAAGCTTTCTGGTTTTGTGGCTTTTTAAGTATAACACCAAAAATGTCTTATGGAAGCTTGAGGTGAACATAGGCTACAAACTGACAGTAGTAGTTTCAAATACTCTGGTAATATGTTCAGTGTGTTCCTGCTCAAATACAGCTGAAACAGCCTTTCCATAAAAGTGAACAAACAAAAATTTGCAAGAAAGTTGTTTTCTTCATGTAGCACTGTTAACTGGACAGCTTGGTAAGGTGATGAATCATGAAGCACAATGTTGTTAGATTAATTGGGTTATGTTATAGGCTATTCATGTAACATTAATGTTCCCTTCCATAATGTTAAAAATAAGGTTTGTAAGCTTGATTTGTGAGGGTGGGGAAGCGAGGGTGGGTGTTCTTCGTGTTGCTGTTTCATGGTGGTGCAACAGTTTACAAAGTTTAAATTGAAAAATTCAAAGGAAATATATATTTATTTTTTTAAATGATTGTGCAATGTTTTCTGACATGTTTAATTCTTCTACAGATTAACACTAAAGCCCCACAATGTCCTTGAAACCACGAGTAGTTGACTTTGATGAAACATGGAACAAACTTCTAACAACAATTAAAGCTGTTGTTATGTTGGATTATGTTGAAAGAGCAACGTGGAATGATCGCTTCTCGTATCCTTTAAGTAAAAGTGTGACTTCATGTGTTTAGCACGGAGCAGGCCTGCATTATGTGACAATTTCAGTGGGCTCAATCAGAAACTCATTGTAAGGTTGAATCTGTTACTAAGCCTGTGAGTATGTTGAAAGGGATGGGGATTTCTGGGGAATTTTGCGTATTTTTGGAAGTATTCTATGTGAAAATCACCATAGTAATAAAAAGTAAGAGAGACTGAGTTTTAATCACTTTTAGTAGCTCTAATAGCTTATGATATAGCTGTTCACAGAAATACATGTATTGAATTTCCCCTCTTCTGATATTAAGTTTGCTTATATAAACTGCTTATACAGTTTGCTGTATGCTTAAGTGTGTGTGTAGCAGGGGAAGCACCTAAGACAGAGAATGCATATCTCTAAATTTGGAGGGCTTGGGGTTGGTGAGGTTGTTCTGTTTAGAGGTGTCTCCCTCTTCTTTGCACTTCTAAGTGTACTGATGATTACCATATTAGATGTTTCTATAGCAAAGGTTTATAAAAAAGCTTTCTTCCTTTGCCTCCTTGCCGCCTTTGTTATTGCTTCTCTGTTCTTGACAGTTAAGCTATGTTTCAAAATAATTACTCTTTCTAGCTGTGATCTGTGGTCTTGCTGTTCAAGTCACAGCTGTACATATATTGTTGTAGTGAAAGGTTTGCTTTTTACATGTAAAATGGACTTGTAATTTTTTACAAGATTTAAGTTTCAGTGAACTTCTTTTAAAAGAAATGTAGCTGCTCTAACCCTATGCCCTGTGTCTATGCATCCATTAGCCATTATAGTGTGGTGAATAATTGGAGAATTTTAGGAGACTTTGCAGCTGTTCCGAAGCAATTTTGGCTGAGTTTGGTTTAATTATAGGGGAGAAGAATAGCCTAGACTTATTTATTGATTTGTTAATTTTTCTGAGTGGAAAAAGAAGCTCCTGGTAAGATTCTTATATATAGATGCTTTAACAACATGAACTTACTCTCTGTGCAGGAGCTGGACTCTAAAGTCTCTTTCTGAATGTGTTACAATTTCTTAGAATTGTTTGCTCATGTACCGTTGTTTTGAATGTGTGCATGTGTATAAATACATAAAAGAAAAATATAGTTACTCATAGTCCTTTTGGAGCCTTTTTCGATGGTGCAATAATCTTTAAGGAGCCCTTTCATTTTAAAACTTTGTAATTAATTTCTGGGAGCATGATTCTTTACCTTGTCTTGGAGTCAAGTTCAAATAACAGCAGAATTTACAGACTTTTGGAATTAATTAGTTGTGCACTTATGTGCTGACAAATTGTGCTATAGTCATTCTTTCTAAGCAGCTTTAGAGAATTGCATATTTCAGTCTTCAACAAGTAATAAACTTCTGTAGCTTAAAGCTCTAAACATTTAAACAAAGGCATCTAAAATAGATTTAAATGTAAAATAATAATTGAATGAGTTGTTGGATTGATTTTTCTTGTCACGCTGTTTCCCTTAGAACTTTTCATGGAGGCCTTGTACACAAGTCTGCTGTTGATCCTTTTTAGGGATTTAGTCCAGTTGATTGAACATCAGAAAGGGAACACTTATGAATAGCAGACTCTGGAAGCAGTCTTGGAAGAATCATTTGGCATGTAGTTCTTAAGACCTGTGCTTTCTATCACCTCTTAATTACATTTCTTGGAAAGTGGCAGTATTAGTCCCTAATTTGGCACAGCCAAGAGTCTTTTTGGCTTATTTTGTATGGCTGAATGGCCTGAGGACCTTGTGACTTGTAACTTCCAGCTTGAGTGTTGATTGTCTAGTATTTCTCCTACTTTTAACCAAGCTCTGCATTTTAACACAAACCACTCACTGAGGAGTCAACAACTTGGTGAAACTGGTAGTTCTATACAGTTGATATGTAAGTTTTTTCCCAAGTTTTAAATGCATAAAGAAAACTAATTTAATGATATATTTTAGGGGATGTGGCATTTAAAAAAATACATGTTGTTCTTCATTAGCTTGTCATTCTCTGTTACATTCAATTTAATTGGAGTAATCTGTTTCTAAACATCTATAGGGATTTTAAAGGAAATGTCATATTAACTCTATTTTTTTTTTTTTTGCTGGTTAATAAGCACAATAAAAGGTGACAAATTATTTGATTAGTCCAAACAATGATATGGAAACAAAGGATAAGACAGAGCAAAGAATCATGACTTTGGTCTGCAGCAGTGTATTCTAAGAAGTGTTTGCTTTCTCTTGTGCTGCTTCAGGCAGCTGAGATCACATGGTGTATGCGCACTAATAGTATTTTAGGTGTGAGAGGCTTGTGTTGTGCATATTCCACTTCTAGAACTAATTTTTGCCTCACTGCTTCTCTAGAGCTTTTGTCTTGAATATACTGTTTTCTTTGTGACTCTGATGGCAATTTTATTGTTAAATGTAGCTTAGCTTTAAATATAGCTTATACCTCAAACTTGAAATGTTAGAATGGCAATGAGCTTGGAACCACAACCATGTAAGAGTTAAAAATCTTTTGGAAAAGATCACTTGAAAGACCATATGTCACTTTATTTTAAACTGTGAGTCATCTTAAGCCACCTTTGACCTTCAGATTTCCTTTAAGGTTTTTTGCAGAAAGAAATGTTTCTGGAGTTGTTTCATTGTCTGGTAAATGAGTGACAGTTACGTCTCTCTTTTTGATATGTTATTTACAACAGTTTGGTTACTGTGAATGCTTTGTATAACTTTCAAGACTTTGCTTCTAACTCTTCAGTAGGCCAAGGGGTGCTCTTTAAGTTAAGAGACTGATTAAGCTTGATTAGAGAGTGGTAGTTCCTCTGTACTTTGATAACTACCTTTTAGCAATGAACTTTTTTGAATGGGTAGAACATCAGGATCTTACTGTTATCTTGGGTTTTCCACCAGCCAAGTAAATAGGGTGAGCAGTACCCAGGGAGGAAGTAGCCATACTGCAAACAGAATTATTTTAAAAGTATGCAACGTAGCCACCTGCTTTTTTTCCATTTTTCTGCATGTTTCTTCTCCCTCCTTTAATCCCCTATTTTACAAGAATCCTATGATGAACCACAAACTAGCAAACATTTATTTTTAGTATAAGAACCAGCCCAAAGGGAAGGAACAGTAAATAAAATTCATAAGATGGTGATTCTTATGACTGTGAGTCTTCTCAAGTACTCTATGAATGTTGATTCTGGTGTAGAGGAAGACGGGCAATCACAGAAATTTTCCAAAAGCTCTACTTTGGTCTTCTAGAGAAAATCTGTTCAAAACCTTCCGTTAATATATGGCCTTAAATAGATGCTTTTTTATAACCCTGAGGACAATATTTGTGAGCTTTTATGATCTTGGATACAGTATTTTCTTATTGATGGTGTTTTTTTTCCTCTTAGTTTGGAATTGCTTCGTTTTCCCATTGCTAGGTAATGCCCCTCAAATGGCAACTACTGGAGCACTTAAATTGCACAAGGCTTTTGATGTTCTTGTTCTCAACACAGAGTGAAGGCCCCGAAGCAGCAGTTTGCCTTCGGCTTCCTTTGAACTTTCTTACCCCGCAAAACTGCGTGCGAAACTGGAAGGACAGATGGCTTTCACCATTAAAGATAAATTATTGAATAGTAAAGGCTTCTTCCTGATCTTCTAAGGGGCAGCAGCACAGTGAAAATGTGCTTGAAGTTTATGGAGTAAAATACCAGTGATGATTAATGATTCATCTCCCTTGAAAGGTTGTTTGTTTGTTTGTTTGGGGGTTTTGTTGTTGGTTTGTGGTTTTCTTGGGGTTTTTTTAAGAGACTCACCGCACCTCAAATGCTACACCAGTTTGGATTCTGGACTGCAAGATGTAGTTACATGAATAAACCAATACAAATGGAGGAAGGATGTGAACTTTCTGTAGCAAAGCTGCCCTGTAATGTGTTATTGAGACTCATTGCAGCTCTTTTTTGTAGAAATCCAAGAAACTTGGTATCCAGCAAGTAGAATTTGGTGTTGATTTTTATCATTTGGTTGATATAGAAAAACATGTGAGTTGCCTGTGGAAGTACTTCTGTGATTAAGCTATTAGTTTAATTTCAGGAGGTATGCAAACTGAGTGTCGTATGTCAAAAAAGATGACTAGATTCAGCTTTCTTCATTTGCAAGAAAATTTGACTGTTTTCTAGGATAAGGAAAGGTATGCTTGGAAGATGGGCATTTTCATGAAGGAGCACTGGTTTCATTCTTAAATAAGTTTATTACAACTAAGAAACTTGTTTACAACAGTCATGTCATCAGGACTTTTAACTGAAGCTTGGTGCACAGATGCTAGATAAATTCAGAGATATTTGTTTGCTGCTTCTGTCAGATAAGCTGCCATCATTATTTTCTTGTGCTGTTGTGAAGACTGCCTATTTCCTCTAACTGAAGTTTTTCTTGTAGGAGAGATTCATTATAGTTTTTGCTATTCTAGGTAGTTTCGTTGTGGATCTAAAGAGAAAAAAATAGTCATGTTCCCTGTTCTTGTGAGTAGCTTATAAAGATTTCTCATTCTGGAATTTACTTTCTCAGAAATATCTTATTTGCATAGTGAAGATGCTTGTGATCTGAATGATATTGAGGATGCATTCAACTACGGACCAACCTTACACTGATAAAATTTGTTGGGGAGGGATATATAAAAACAAAACCAAACGACAACCAAAAAACCAAACCAAAAAAAACCAACCCCCAAACAAACACCCCCTTCACCCCTGCAAACAAAAAACAAACAAACAAAAAACTCCAAAAGCCCCATTTGTTCATTACAGTCTATTTGTAGAAAGAGAACTTTCCCTTCTTCATTACTAATTTAATAATTTGTTTTGGTATTTTTTGGATGTGATTTTGGAAGTTGGTGTAATGTACTGTTACAAAGCAGTGAATGTTTTGTTTGTTGGGGTTTCCATTTAATGCTCTTGCTGTTCTGAGGAGAATTCTGGTAAAGATGATCTGTATGGATGAAATAACTGTACTTGAGATTAGACTCTGATTAGGCTTTCCTAGGTTCCAGTTGCCTAATAAAGTCTTTTTTCTATTTAGTTGTCCTACATTAGTATCTTCTCTGTTCTGAGTAGCATCAATATAAAAAATGAAATATGCTTTTGGGAAGAACTATGTGGTGAAACTCAACACTGTTCTGTAGACTAAGCAGGTGATTTGTCAACTGTCCTTATGTCTTCTGTGTCCTTTTACACAGGTATGTGCTTAAGTTAGACTACAGGAAAGCAGATCATGTATCTTCCCTTAATAAAAGAGCTTACCTTAAAAAGTAATCTATACTAAATCATTATTTCTAGCGTGGCTGGTTTTATAAAGTGCCTAGACTTAGCAGATAAGCATGATGTTTTAAATAATCTTTGCAGAACTAGTTTATTTCTCACAGTTGTTCACCTGAAGCTTGACTTAATTCTTGCTTGACTTTTCTGAAAGCAAGGTTTTTAATCATACATTCTTTTCCTGACAAAGTATCAAGTATCTTTTTAAACACTTTGATATAAACCTTACAAATGAAAGGAGTAGCTCTGCAGGGTGCTTCAGGGACAAAACCACCTTAAGGGTTTTAAATGTTTGCTGCTGCCCATTTAAGTGAGCAAAATTGTTTTACTTGTGGAGTCGGAAGGAATATGCGAGGACAGTAAATTGTTTTGTACTTGGAGGAGGAAATCTTGAAGTTGGCTTCACTTCATGTTTATTGTGCTCCATACTTGGCTGATCACATTATTAACTGAATTAGTGCTTCTTTCCATTATCCAAAAAGAGACTCAGTTTGATATTGGCTGAAGATACAGAGGAAGAATTTTGGATGAAAGCTGCTTTTTCACTTTGAGATAATCATGTTATTCATAGATGGCAAATAAGCAGTAGATGCTGTGTCAACTTGGGGCTGCCAGAAGTTCCCAAATCTTAGCTCTGACATGCCCTCGCCTTCCACTACTTAAAATTTATTATTGATGTTGAAAACTTAGACTCTTCACAAATCAGGACTTATACTACTTTCAGAAAAGGATCCAATTAATCTTTTGTGCCTGGCTATAAAAAAAAAAATAATTAAAGGGTGTGTATGGGAGAAAACAGGTTCTGTGAATCTTAAATTTTCATACTTTAAGCAGGTACAAACCTTAACTCTGAGCCCAGAGACATTTATGCTTTGTGTGTGGCCTATCCTGAACCTCTTGGAGAGAGACTTTATACTGAGACTAAAATTTTTTTGGAAAATCATGTACGCCATTTGCACAAGGTAACTTATACAATTCCTGATGTACATGTAGGTATTGTTTGTCCTTTTTTTGACTCTGGGGGAGGTTTGTTTGTTTTATATGAATGAAGGTATGCAGATTTTATAAATCACAGGTGTCAGAGTTCCAGGGACAGAACATATGTCTATATATCTGATATATGTAACACGTATCACACAACACAATGTAGATGGATATATAGAGATCTGTCTATACTTAACACAAAAGAAAGAGCTTTCTTGTTAAACAAACAATTATGGTTTATATAAATTATTTATTGGCTTGAAAAGTGAGTTCTTTCTTTTCTGTTGAATGCTTATAATCAAACAAGTTACAGAAATGTCTTCATTTTCCGAATGTGCTAGAGTTGGTCATTAGCCTTATGTTACAATGTATCTACTCTGTTGTCTTGGAAACTGACTGTATATACTCTACTAAAGAAAACTTCTGAAATATGTGGGAAATAAAGTAACAAAAATGTTTGGGAGGGGAGGAAGTAATGGCAAATTATTTATTATGACAAATAACAATACTTGTATACCTATATAGCTGTGAATTAACTTTTCTCTCATCATCTAAGACAGCTAATTTCAACAGAATCATGATTCATCATTTTGAATGTATAGGATGGATGAACAGTGTCTCCTTGTATTTCAGGAAAAAAAAAGTAGTAGTAGATTTAAATAAGATGCCTGCTGTCTTTGGTGTCTGTATAGGGAATGAAGAATTGCAAGTTCTGCATGGTACTGCTAAATGGCTTGATGTTGATTTCTGAGCTTAGGTATACCTGTGTATAGGTACAGATACTGGGAAGACAAGACAGACTGGGTGTCTTAATGGGTAGTTCCACTAGTTGCAGAGAGGATACCTCTAACATTTTAGTAAACTAAATCAGTTCACTAAACAGGCAGATAACTCAGCCATAAAAGTTCTTCCTCATTTATTTAGTGAGCTGAATGAGCTCACTTAGGATCATTAGGCAGGTGCCAGCACAGCAGAAGTTCTAGGAAGTAGTGGAAGGCAAAAATGCATTTTTTAAATTGGCTATTCACCATTTGTCTTTGAAATAATGTTGGAAAACTTAATAAAATTCGTACTGCAGAAGGCGGCACTCTCAATTCTGTTCTGTCTGCTGGCTCTTCTCTTTTACATTATTTCTGCTTAGACTTCTTGGCTGCTTGAGCCAGAGTTTAAAATTACATACTGTAGAGAATTATGATTGTATTCCTAGGATCTCATCCTCCTTCATGAATCATATTAATTCGTTTAAATTGTTGAACTTATTCCTTTGAAGTATTAATGTATTTTGAGAAGTTCAGTACATCAGCAACTTCATAAATAATTCTCCTAATTTTCAAAAGATTTGGGCCTAGATTTACAGAACTTAAGACGTGTTTAAGTTTGCATATATCTGCACTTCATTAAACTTGTTTTATTCCAGGATTCTTAGTAAGTATAAGGGCTTGTGTAACCAGTAAGGAATACTGATTTGAAGCAGTTATAGTTAGGCAACTCCACTGTGTGTGTGGCTGCATGAATTTAAAATTGATTTGTGTCAATGAGGGAATAGTTATGTGAGTTATCCCACCAGTATGGTGTGAGAATATGAACCATGCTTCTTCAAGCAAGTACTTCTGTTAAGACAAATAGGAAATAATATGTTACAGAGGTTGTTCTTTTTAAATGCAAAAAAACCCCAACCCAGTTTCAGGTGTTGTGGCTGGCTTACCAAAACTGTAGTATGAAGATTTATTACTTTTCTGGTCATTGCAACAATGTTATTTTTACACCAGTTAAAGTTTTAGATGTAGTCTTTATTTTGAATCCGTGATTTTTATTAGAAAATTATAATCCTGTTATAACTTTCTATGTATGTGTGCTATTTTCATACTAATTTTAGCGGGGGGTGTGTGTGTATCTTCCTTCACAGAGGGTTCTGGAAGCTGAAGAACAAGTCCTGGTTATGTATCACAGATACTGGGAAGAGTATAGCAAAGGGGCAGACTATATGGACTGTTTATACAGGTAAGCTTTGCAAATGAGTTGTTACACTTCTGAAATTTTTACAGTGATCTGCTGCCTAAGTCTAAGAATGTTGCTTGAAGAGAGCAGTAGCTGAATGAATATGCCCCAGGTCATGACCTGAGTAAGGGAACATAACTGACAAAATTGTCCCTGTGAAAATTGAAGCTATTTTGTGTTTGAGTGTGAGAACTGCAAAATTTCAGGTACAGGTAGAAGAACATACATTTTAATTAAAAATATCTGATACTCAGGAATGGTTTTCTATCATTAAAAATAAATAAACTATTACTATAATACTAGTCAACTGCTTAGAATTTAGCAGTTATTTTGCGTATGTATGTATGAGTAATATGGCAGTGTATATTGAAAGGTTGGATGTTTACACAAGTATATCACACACCAAGAAAATTCTGGCAGGGATAAATCTGGCTACTGTTTGATATCTCAGTTACAAACACTGTACTGTTTTAATATGGTGTAAGGCCTTTTAAATTGAAGGAACTTATATTTTAAGAATTTCCTTCAGATAGCAATGGCATTGGTTACAAGACGTTGTCTTTTGTGATGTGGAAGACATTCCACAATTCCAAATTTATTAAAAAAAACCCAACACTTAACTTTTGCCTGTTTTGATTAGAATATTTTTATTTCTGTAGGTACCTCAACACACAGTTTATTAAGAAGAACAAATTGACTGAAGCTGATCTTCAGTATGGTTATGGAGGAGTGGATATGAATGAACCATTGATGGAAATAGGAGAGGTAGGTGTCTCTGAAAGTGTGGGTGGATCTAAACTGTGTTCAGAAGCGCCTGAAGTTCAGCTTTGTCCTTTTACGTGTGGACTTTTCTGTGTCACAGAATCTGAGTAGTTAAATATGGTAGAAGATGTAAGCACTGAACCCTTTGTAAAATGAGATTACAGTTTTGATGTAGAAAAATACAGTGATCTAGAGGGGTAAAAAATGGCAAATATGAAAACTATTGGAGAATTTGGGTTTAAAATATGATAAGAGATAACACTGCAAAAAAGCTTTATTTTATTAAATGACACTACTAGCTAGAAAATATTTTGAAGAAGCAGTATTTTTGATTTTCGAAACCCTTGAAATACTACTTTTAGGCTTCTATTTCTTGATGTCACAAAGTATAACAGCTTTTTTGAGATTATTCTGTGCATCTTATTTTGTAATGCAAGCTGTTTTGTACTTCTGTTGTAGCAACTTGGATAGAGATTTTGATAGAAAAGTAGACATTCCGCACTCAAAAGTATCATGTAGGGAGGGCTTATCTTTAAAAGAAAAAAAAACTTGATGTAAGCACCAGGGTGTTTACACAGTTACTAATGTAAGTTGGAGAGGCTGAGAGTAATTTTTAAGTACCCTTAAAATGAAAAAAATTCTAATCTGTAGGACTCCATTCTGAAATACCGCCCTGTGCACTCCAACTATGTAGAAGTGAAGTATACGTTGTTTCTGTTACTTCATGGCTACTCTTACCATGACATATAAGTAAGTAAAATAGAAAGACAATTTTATAGTGTAAAAAAAAAAAAATTCTTCCAACAAAGCATTTCAGTATGTCTTTAAGAAGATTTTGAAAACACCTTTTTAGTCTGAATCAACAAAACTACAATCCTGAATGTAGTTGAGTGGAAACTTTTATTTTGAATGCTTGTCTGTGTATCTGTTTGCTTTGTCTCTGTATGTATACACACTGGTAGCTGGAGAAGTCATTTTATTCTGTCATGACCTGCAGTGGTGTATTGTTTCTTTCCTTTCCTCTCTACATTTGCCTTTTTCTCTAAAGGGGAAGGGGAACACTTCTTCTCTTCCAGTTTGGAAAGCCAGAGAAAACACTTTATTTTTTATAATTAATAACAGCTTGACCTGTCAGTGATTACTGTTCTAGCTCGTTGATTTCATTGCTTTAAGTAGGAGGTCTCTTCTGTCTTTAATGAAGAGTAAGGAGAGATTGTGATGCATGAAGAAGCGCCTTCTGTGCTTCAGACCTGGCTACCCCGCTGATGAAGGCGGCACTGCCAGTTGAAATTGCTAATCCTCTGACAATATTCTTAAACTACAGCTGGCAGCCTTTGGTTTTTGTTGAAGATGTTTGGATGATGGTGTCTGGAACTCTAATGAGTTTTTCATTACCTCACTCCCCAAGACTCCTTCCAAACACTGTCTTTGTAATCTGTAGTATCACTAAGTAAATTTTGGATCTTGAGGCGGTAAAGTTAATCTCTGTTCATTACTGGTGTAGGATTAAGTTTATGGCAGTTACTTTTGCTCTGAAAAGGAATGGAGACTTGAGTGCTACGCTTAAGTAGTTTAATGCATTAAATTGCAGCACTGTTTTTGTTGAGTTCAATGTCCCAGAAAGAAAAGTAGTTCACATTTATTGACCTATAAGGCACTCGCCAAGTTTATCAAGTCTCTGTTTTGAAAGCATTTTCTTTCGTTACGATTCCAGTTTAGGATTCTATCTTTTATTCTTTGGATTGCACTGGGGGCTTTGACAAAAGTCTTTATTTCAGTTATTCATCATTTTAGAATGGAAGGAATTATTATTTATCCATTTTTAGATGACTGAGATGATCTGTCCTTTATTTACTCTAGAGCAAATGTGCTTATTTTATATATAGTTCTCACCAGTCTCAGCATGAAGTTACAGAAGTAATGCCCAGTATTTGTAGAAGCAGGACTGTGCTCTCTACTGAAGTTTCTGTCTCAGGGTCACTCCTGTGTGCTAATGAAACTTTGGGAGCTTTTCAGTAATCTTCAACGAGTACCTGCTTGCTTAGTTCTTCTGCGGTGTCTCGCAGTAGAGACCGGACGTGCGTATGTGATGTGTATGGGCAGGGCTTCAAACGGTTTATCATCTTGATAAGTGTTCCAGACATTCAGTAATTGTTGTACTAGGAAAAATACAGGATGAGATCAGTTGATGAAAGTAATCTGCCAGTGCTTGCAAGAGATTTTAATTTATTTTTTTGTCCTTATATTATGAATGCATGGTGAAGGATACTGCTTTTTTGAGGTGAGCTCTGGTCACCAATTTGACTTCTCAGTTTTCAGTGATTCTGAGCTAGCAGATAGTTAACATGTACCTTCTGGGTTTTTTTCCCCAATCACGGGGCAACAGATTCTAGAAAATGGAGGAAACTGCCATATTTTGTATTTTCAGTCTACTTGAAGAAGTAAGACCAGTCCCTCTCTTCAGGGAGAAAAAAGTCTCTTGAACTAATACATCAAACTGCTGGATTAACTTGTCTGTAGTTTACTTGACAAGAAAATTCCAACAGGCAACTTGAAGCTGTTTTGGATTGTTAGATCATATGTGAGAGGGATCATGTTAGAGACTGCATTTCAGAGACCACATTGCAGAATAGAGTCACCCGAGGTCATCTCCTTCACATCATAGTCACAAAATGTCAGTCCTTTTTTTTCTTCAGAACTAGCTTCTTTCAGCATTCTTGGCTGCATGAGTACCTGATGTCAGAGGGAAACTGGTTTCCTTTAACTGTTCTACTACTCTCCACAAGGCAAGACAGTGAAAATCACTCCTGAGACAACTTTGATTTCAAAACATTATCTGTCTTTCAATTTATAAACAAACCTTTACCTCTTCTTTGAACCTGTTATTGATGTGGTTGGATCAGCATTACCTCACAGACTTCTGTACCCTGTGCTACAGCATGGGTGCTGGATAAGTGTGACAGAGCAAGTTCATTTGTCTGCTCTTTAAAAGGAAGATTTATTCCACAAGGTGGATCAGATGGGATACCTAGTCGACAGCCAGATGCATGCTTTCAGTTAAGACATACCTGACCAATATTTTAATTTTCACAGCTAAGGACTTGTTAGTTGTGTCAAAGCTTTCTTAGCAGCAATATTCCCTCTGTTCTCATTGATTTTGGACATTTCATTTTTTCCTAGACTGCTACTCTCTGGTAGGTGTCTTTAGACATCTCAAATGTGTGTGAGTGTTCCCCCCATATGAGGGATCATGTGATCCCCTTTAGGCTTTAAATCTCATATTGACTTACGTGTAAAAACTCCTTGAGTGATGGCAGTTGTGTTTTTAAAAATGGTATGTTTGGGGAGAAATTACATCATCCACAAGAGTGTGAGATACTTGAGTCCATTTGACCGATCCCTCTAATGATATATTAGGAATATGGTGACCCTATTTTAATTTTATTTAAGTCAAATATTAGCTTGCCAGTGACTTAAGTGCTATGCATCTTAGCTTGGAGATGCTCTCTGTGTGTTGGATCCAAGGGTTCTGTATCCTTGACTCTGTTCTCTGACAAATTGGCCAAGAAACGTTCCCTTTTGTCAGCTGAAGCTTATTTGCTATCATTTTTAGAAATACTGGTGTCCATACACATTCAAACACTTCAGGCAGAAAGGCATGTTACCTGCCTGTGACTGTGCAGATGTTTTGTTTATATGTACACTCAAAACTTGCCCTCATAACCCACTTGCCTTAGGGTCCTTACATGCTTTTGAGAATACTTGAAAGAGTGGAACCAAGGGATAAATCAGTCCTATTAGATGTGTAAGAAGCAAACAGACTGGGAAGCATGCATTCAGATGCTGCCTTTCTAGAAATTCTATGTGTGACACAGATCTGTGTGGTCTTCATCCAAATGCAGTCAGATATTCTAGAAGAAAAATGGTAAAATAATCCATTAATATGTTGACAAATGGGGGGGAACAAAAGAATTTCAAAAGGAGAAAGAAGAGAGTATCTAGCAATTTCATTCTTAAAATACTAAATGGAGAATTGTGACGTCTTTGGATTTGTTTGGGGTTTTTTTTTTTTTTTGTATTTTTTATTGATGTAAACTTGTGTTGTGTCCTGACAGCTAGCTCTTGATATGTGGAGAAAATTAATGATTGAGCCACTACAGGCCATCCTTATTCGGATGCTCCTCCGAGAAATAAAAAAGTGAGTGCTTGATTATTTTTTGCTTTTACACAATGTGGGGATATTGCATTTATTACTTTGAAAACTCTGGGGACTTTGACCAAATACTTTCATGAGGTAGCTTCTTACCTGGTAATGGTGTTCTGTCAGCTTTTCTCATTGTAGCTATGTACTTGTGGTTTGCATTCCAGAAAGACTAAGATTCTGTGTTTCTGTTGTTCAGATGAGTGATTTCACTTAACATTCTTGGTGTTTTACTTGAATGAAATGGAAATAATTTCTTTTTTTTGCACTTTGAGTGAATTTATTATTTTATTTCTGAATACCTTTGTTACTTTTAAGCACAGGCCCTGGTAGTTACAGGGGTTGGGACTTTTTAAGTTTTGATTTTAAACCTTTATACTGTTTAACTCCTTAAGGTTCTTTTTATTTATGAATAAACAGAAATTTTGAAATATACTATAGACCTTGTGTGTAGTTGTAAGTTTCCTCAGTTTCTACACTTTTACTGTTGTTTAGGGTAGCTCTGGAGTTGTGTAATGATGTTTGTTTTTTTTTTTAAAGCGATTGCATGCCTGACGCGGGTGACCAGGCTAGTGTAGGTAAACTGAGAGAGTGAGGCAGTTTGGCTGACTGAGGTTCCTTGGACATGCAGTTCATCAGAAAAAGACTGTATTTATAAGGCATTTAAAAAGTGATTATAATATTATAATTTCATTTTTCCTTCCTGAATTATATTTCTAGACAAGTAAGTAACTGATGTGATGTCCCTCTCAGGTTGTATTTCTGAAGCCAGGAAGTATTGTATTTGCTTTCAGATATTGAACCATGCTTCCTTTGTAACCAGTGTTAATATTGCTTTATCCATATGTTTACTATAACAATTATTTTTACTAAATGAAGATTGCCTAATTTATGGTGAAGAAGATTCTGTTTTGTCACATTAAGCACAGTGACACTGAAGACTCGTTTTAGTCAATCTGTCTGTTTCACTGGCGGGTGGGAGTGGAAATCTGTGTTAAAACCCTTTTCAACAGATATCTGATGCCTCTTAAAAGTAATGGTATGTATATACCTTGAGGCTGACTGCAGACCTCACAAGGGTATTTAGATCAAGACTGTTGCTGGCTCCATGGAGCGTTAGATGTTGAGTCTGTAACAAGTTGACGTTATTTGTTATTAAACCATTTGCCATTTGGAAAGTTTTAAATAAAACTTGAGTCATTGTCTTTAATGGTTAGGTCTGTATTTTTTTTCCCCTCCGTTTTTAATTTTTTTTTTCTGTGATCTCAAAGAAGTTAATTCAACTCTGTTTCTCAAAGTATACATCTAATAATTCAGATTAAGTTTGTTCTAGCCACTTTGTGATCTGCCTATCATGTAATGAACTGTAGAAGAGAACTTATTATAGCTGTTCTTCTTGGTATCATGAAATGTCAGGTTGCTATGGGTAATCTGAGGATAGCCTTTGCACGTAACTATAGGCTTGTTACTGTTCTTTGCTATGATTCCAGTGGTCAATACAGTTTGTAAAAGGCAATTTTAAAGAAATTGCTGCAAATGGCTGTTAAATGTCTTTTAGTTTTGAGTTCAGCAATTCGGGGATTAAACAATGTCTTTGAAGAAGTGGATATTAATAAGTTACATCTATCTCAGGGGCAAGAACATGCATGGGAAGTTTATTACCTAAAAAATTTAATAAAATTACTAATACTTACATATATTTAGAAACCTCTCATTTAGATGCCTTCTTAAGTGTAGTACTAAAGTGTGGACATAGTTCAATTTATTAAAATGTTTTACAACATAATTAAAACTTAAGTAGATGGGAGAGTTGAACTTCTTCAAGCTGGAAGATTTTCCATAGTATACAACGATATGCGGAGTTGATAACCAATATTGTGGGCAACTAGTTGCATATAAAATTATGTTAATTACTGTACTGGAAAAAGTAGAGGGAGCAGAGGCACACATTTTTCATTTTAACAACATATTTAACTGGAATGTCAAAAAGACTTCTCATTAAAATCTTGAGCACATCTACTTTTTAGAAGCTATAAACTTGTGCAATACACAATACATTAAAATTAACAGTAAAGTTTTTTGGCAAGTCAAAAATAAAGAAGTACAAGTAGTGACTTGTGATTCAGCTCAACAAGATGGCTAAACTGATCTAAGAGTTTGCTGATGCCAAAAAGGAGCAGGTTGTGCTCTGCTACCTTTCTTGTGCTGAATTTGGTGCTCATCTAGTCCCTAGATGAACCAACTCAACAGCTAATATTACAGAAAACCATCTTGCCTAATATATCTCCAGATTGGCACGATGAGTCAAAGAATTAGATGAGTGCCAAAGCAATGCAAGAGAGATACAGAGGCCTGTGACTGAGCAAAAGGGAGCAGGATTAGCCCCCTTGAACAGCAGTTAATTGTTAAATCACTTAAGCCTGTCTTGTCTGACTACACTCCTCTTAATATAGAGTTCTGAATATAACACACTTTCTTCCCCCTCCCTCTAGCCCAAGCACTCCTCCTACAAGGCAAGCTGAATATCAACTTGCGCATTTTTGTTTCAACACAACAGGAAGCCGACAAGATCTCAAATTGTGAGAAAATTCATCTATGAAATTCTTAAACAGAAATAATTTGGAAATTATTCAGGTGCTATCTCAAATGACAGTGTGATTAGTACAGACTAACCAGGAGAGGCTTCTCTACTAAAGATAACTAACACTTTCAGACTAACTGAACCTATTCCTGTCTAAGCTGATATATTATTTATACCTTTTATTTGAAAGGAAAGCCTATTGGAAGTTAATAACTTAAAAGCTTTTGAAACAAGCTCTTCTAATTCACTGTGAATTCTGTAGTTAATTGGTCTTAATAGACCATTGGTCTGACACAGCAGAGCACTTCTTCTGAGTGATGGAATCTTCTTTTAATGAATACTGTGTTTATTATTATGTAAACTTTAAATATGTTCAATGGGGCTATAGTGGTACGGTGTATGATACATGTTAAACTTCCACTGTTAGCTTTAGTCTTAAGCTAGGAACAAGATGGAGTTAATGTGAAACAGCACAATGTTGTTGAGCTTGGGTTTTGTAGTTTTCTCTATTTCTTTTGAAAAAAGAAACTCAGCAGCAGAATTACTGAAACTTGTGTTTCTAGCACTTTACCTTTTGTCCAGGCTGCCCACGAAACATCATCATTCCCTTCTACACTCCCAAGATGTCCTGTGATATCCCTGATTCAAACTGTGCAGCAGCTGCTCTGTAGCTGTATGCATCTGTATTGCTTGCTGACTGCTGCCAAGAAGGAAAATATGCACTTAATAGGCTTCCACCTTGGTGGGGTCACCACTCTCTCTTGTTTTAGTTTGGCAGATATGCTTACTACTAGAGCTTTCATGAAAATTATCCTTGAAGCTTACGTAACTTCTGAAACTTCTGTCAAATTTTGTGGAAACTAACCATTTGTGTTACGAATTCTTGGGAGCATAGTGCCATTGGTGTAAATAAAAAGCTGAAGATGCTGCTAAAATGAAAAGAATGATAGTTTTGTGATATGCTATTTATTGTGGAAATAGTGTTGCTTTTCACATAGCTTCATGCTGAAGTTCGTAGCACAGTTCTGTCAATACATTTACAGCAAAGTTGTCAGAAAATTTATAGTACCTCTCCTGTGAAGATGGGCTGAGAGAGTTGGAGTTCTTCAGCCTGGAGAAGAGAAGGCTCTGGGGAGACCTTATGGTAGCCTTCTAGTACCTAAAGCTGGAGAGGGACTTCTTACAAGGGTGTGTAGCAATAGGACAAGGGGTAATAGCTTGAAACTGGAAGAGGGTAGATTTAGATATGAGGAAATTCTTTACTGTGAGGGTGGTGAGACACTGGAACAGGTTTCTTAGAGAAGCGCTGAATGCCCCATCCCTGGAGGTGTTCAAGGCCAGCTTGAGCAACCGCTAAGGGCTTTGAGCAACCTGATCTAGTGGAGTGTGTCCCTGCCCATAGCAAGGGGGTTGGAACTTGATGATCTTTAAGGTCCCTTCCAACCCAAACCATTCTATGAATACTCACCCATTGAGGAAACCTATGTTAAGCTACTAAAAATTCTGTATGAGGAGGGAGGGTGGGAAATGGGGAGTGTGGACATATGTTTTTTAAAAATCCTTACATGATCCTGGCAGTTGTTCTGAACTTGTAATTTGATTGGCAACCGCATGCTCACTGCCTCCATATTCAGCAGTCGATTTAAATTCTTTCCTTGTTGCATACTACCAGCTACCATAAGGCAGGCATGGCCAGTTCCATTGCTTTCCTTCTTGTCTTTATGCTCTCATGCTCTGCTTCAAAAACCTGTCTCCTCCCTTGCAGCTTTTCCATGGAGCATTTCCCTCGCGTACTTTTACAGCTTTTTCCTAATGATACATTGATCTTTGAATCTCCTGGGCCTGACCTTTGCTGCCCCCTCTCCTCCTGCATCTGCGTGGGCTTAAGGTCTGTGAAGTGGCCTGTGAACCAAGCAGAGGGGAGCTGGGTCTTCACCTGTTATCACAGTAATTCTTTGTGTTTGTGTCACCAATATCCTTCCAGGTCCAGAACCCCGTGTGCTAGAGGCGGACTGGACTGTCTCTTGACAGAGCCCTACTTTGCTAATATACTTAACTTTTAATAATGTAGTTTCCTCCACACTGAAATGGTGCTATGTTCACAAGCTGCGTGTATTCTGCAGCTTGCCATGGTCCTGGGGTGCTCTGGGATGGAGCTGGGTCCAGGCCGTGGTCTGGTGTAACCCTTCTTCCCTCTGTGACACGCTGCTGCCGCTGCCATTGTCTAACCAGACCCAGCAGAGGGACGTTGGCAAGAATGTGGGTGTGATTACATGTACCCAAACTCAGACTTATTCCATTGGTTCAGCTACCAGAACCAGAGGTAACCTTCCTGTCCCCCGGGGAGAAAAAATCAGACCATCCCTGTTGGAGCAGTCACTCATTAGGTCAGCTCGTTTGTAGCAGGTGACCAAGCTGCACAAACCATACAGTCACTGCTTGTAATCTCTTATAGAACTAGTTCTTTCCACCCATCATGAGCTTAAGTTTCCAGATCTTAGGATGCCATAGTATTTAAAAGCAATACACATAATTAAAAGTGTTGTGAATATATGAATGTGGTCTGGTGTATGTCATACCACAGCTGCTGTGGCTGTCCTGGTAAACCTCCCTAGCTCATGGGCATTCTCTGGAGTTTTTATCAATTCCAAACCAAAGTTAATGAAATTAGCAAAATTATTTCTCCCCCATTCCACCCCAGCATAGATGGATATATGGTAATGTTTGGGGTTTAAATATTTTTTCTGCCTTTACTTTTTTTTTCCCTTTGAATATATTTTTTTAATATTGCTCATATAAATTACTCTCTTATAACAACATAAATAGTTTCTATCACAGAACTTATTTTGCCTTTTCAGTGCAGTCTGATTAAAGTTAAAGTTCTTAGTCTATATACATGTAAATGTGTGTATATATGTATTTTAGAAAGAAATCCTTTGAAATTACAACTGCTGCTGATGCTTAAGTGTAAATATACTTCTATAAATCATATTTTAGTCCTGTTTAACACCTTTGGAGCACGGGAATAGTTTTTACTTCTTTGTAAGCTGTATGTGAAAGATGGTCTTTGACAAAGTCTCTGCTGCTCTGAGTGTGGGTCTGTTATTTCCAATCTTTGCAAGGGAGTGAACACTAATGTCTTTAGCATGCAAAACACTTGTTTTAATTGCTTTTGTTTTCAACTGAATGGGACTAAGGATAACTTTTTCTTCACTTGAACGTGCTCATTTGAAGCTAAGAACTTGACTGGAAAACATGAGATTTTCCTTTCAAATGTATGATTAAAAATTGTAATAATGTGCCTAGAATGTTATTTGTTCCACTTGACATCTGCATGTTGAGTAGTAATTATTCAGAAAAGCAGATAGCATGCTTCTTGGTATGATGTTGGCAAAAATGTTTTTTATTTTTTTTTGGCAAGGGCAGGTGTGTGAAAGTAGTCTATTTGATAAAGGCTACAGATGTGAGATGAAACTTACTGTAACTTTTAGAGCACTTGCTTAGAATACGTAATTTGGAATACTTCTATCCTTAGCAAACACTTGGAAATTTCATGACCTGCAAATGCTTTTGAATAGTTTATGAATTGCTGTCTCAACAATTTAAATGTATGGGCATTTTTATTTTAAGATTGGCAAAATTGAAGAAGATTTATCTAAGCAGAGGAACTGGAAAATGTTTTCATCCAATATTATTTCATTCAGATGAGTTACACTAGAGACCTAGATTCTCATGAATGTTTGCTTTGCCTGTTTCAGTGATCGCTGTGGAGAAGACCCAAACCAGAAAGTAATCCATGGGGTTATTAACTCCTTTGTTCATGTTGAACAGTATAAGAAAAAATTCCCCCTAAAGGTAGATATACACTTCTGATTTATGTTTTTAATTTTGAATGTTAATCTAGTATACTTATTATTTATCCTTTAAAAAAAAAACTTTCCCTTTTAGTTTTATCAGGAAATTTTTGAGTGTCCTTTTCTGAATGAAACAGGGGAGTATTATAAACAAGAAGCTTCAAATTTATTGCAAGAGTCAAATTGCTCACAATACATGGAGAAGGTAAGAGATTCTTCTGCACGTGTGCAATAAGTAAAATCTAATATTATCAATTTACTGATGATATATGGTTTCCTGTACAGTTCCCACAGCTGTTCTTTGTGTTGTGCTTTTGTGCAGTTTAAACTATGCTTTTTTGGTGGCATTGTTAATCTGAATATAAACTACAAACCTTGTCTGTGAGTGGGCTGTCAGCTTCAAGATATTTCATAATAAATGATATATCAATCACATGAAAAGTAAAAAAAAAAAAAAAAAAAAAAAAAAAAAAAGACAAACTGAAACACATACTTCTTTACTTCCTTATTTTGCTTCTGTTCATAGTAGCATAAGATCAAAGTTTTAGCAATATTACTGAGGTGGATTTTCTTTTTGGTTTTCTTTGGTGTATGAAGTCAGGTTGTGGTTGAATTACTTGTAATTCTTATACGTTGCTCGAGAAAACAAAGATGAATACAAGACTAGGAGTCAGTCGTGGGTGCTCTACTGTCCACACTAACAAGATGGAAGACTTGAGGAGAAGGCTGTGAGGTTACTGCTAACCATAAGGAGCATAAGCTCGTGGTTACACATCTAAGTTGAAATTCAGGGACAGGCTGAGACGTCAATTAAACCAGAAGAAATGCAGATTCATTTTGTCTATCATTAGCAGTCTGCTGCTGCAGACTTTCCCTAGGCTCCCCTCATATTTACTGGATATAAGTACTTCTATGTCAGTATTCATGTGACTTTTTTAATGATTATGCCTATTTCCTTCATTGGAGTTTTAGAGATAATTTTTATTAATAGCTCAGTTGTACACCTGTACCTTTTGAGCAGTTGTTTATGTACAAGCAGACAGGTTTGGAACAGTGAAGTCATATAATTAGGTATTGTGGTAAAACTTTTTCAGAAGGAATAAGAAGCATGGTAGGAGAAACTGAGGATGACTGGTCACACAGTTGAGGGAAAGAAGAAATTTTGAGAAGAGAACTATTGAGTGCTATTAGACAGTAGTGACTGAGCCTCGTCAGTACTTGGAGTAGAAGATGATGTGCAGTCAGCAACAGCTTGATTCAAAAGAGTGAATTTAATTTTTCAGCATCCCAAACAAGTTTTTTTTTAACTTTATTTACTTATTGGTTGCTAGTATTTCATCAGCTCTCAGTTTTAAAACTTGTCTGTAGGTTTTAGGTAGATTAAAAGATGAAGAAATGCGATGTCGGAAGTACTTGCATCCCAGCTCATATGGGAAAGTGATTCATGAATGCCAACAGAGAATGGTAGCAGATCACTTGCAGTTTCTACATGCAGAATGTCACAATATTATCAGACAAGAGAAAAGAAGTGGTAAGTCTCAGTGGTCACAAAAAGTGTGCAGTGATTTTTGTTCATTTAGCATTGCAGTTTACTGTGACCTTCTACGTGGCTAAGCTTTTTCAATTAATATATATGTTACTTATCTAGAAAGCCCGGTTAAACACTGAACGACATTTTTCTTTACCATGCTAATCATATTCATCCTTCCAAATATATAGTCAAACCCTTCTTTTTACTGTTAACAACCCTTCTTTCAGCCAATACTCCTTCTCTTTCCTTGTCTTAGTCGGCTTAAAAACACACTGAAGTCCTGTGTCCTGTAGAATTGATCATATTTTATGCTTGTGTTTTCATTTGTAAACCAATGGCTCTGTCTTTACAGATTTCTTCATCATCATTTAACAGGTCAGGAGTACAAAATATTTTGGCTTCTTTTCATAGCCACTTTTTATTGTCCTGAATTATTTGTGACCTCTGTTCCCAATAATTTTTACAGAAGCAGATGCTCTTATAGTTAAATTCCCCACCTGACTAAAAAAAATTATGCTTCCTGATGACTATATGCCTCTTATCCTTGAAAGAATGCTTATTCTTGCATGGAAGATGGTATCTATTATGTGAAACAAATTATTTTTCACAGTCAAACTCAAATTGTATCTAATAATACTGTTCAGTTTCCAGAAAGTTTTGGAAATTTGATCTGAGTTTGGATCCATTTTTTGGGGAAAAAAAAAAAAAAAAAGCAGTTGCTTATTTACAGCTTTTCTAACCTGAAAAAAATTTCAAGCCACCACTGGAGGATAACAAAAAGTCAAGGTATCTAAACTGATTTAAGTCAGCTGCTGCTAAGGGAGATTTAGGGAGGCCAAGGATTAAAATAAACCGGCACAATACTTTTCCATACTTGCCCACCTCTCCTCTTGGGGTCTCTCCTAAATAAGCAGTATTGGAAGAGTGAGGGTGTCACAACAGCAGTACTCAGGAAATACTGATATTAGCCCTACTCTTTCCTTTTTTTCTTGTCAGTGATCCAGTACATGTTAATTTATTTATTTTTTCCTTTCAAAACAGTTGGTCTTGTTTCAGTCTTTGAAAAGTTCGGTGTGAAATTATAATACTATATTAAGTGTTGATTTTTAGTGTTTATAAGCATATTCTATAAAAATGTATCTCTGTTACAGACATGGCAAATATGTATACTCTACTTCGTGCTGTGTCAAGTGGTTTACCTCATATGATTCAGGAACTACAAAACCATATCCATGATGAGGGCCTTAGAGCAACCAGCAATCTTTCTCAGGAAAATGTGAGTTTCCTCAGGCAGCTGAAATTACCTATCTGATTAACATTCCTGATGAAATGTTTACCCTTTTCTTTTTAGTCTATTTTGTTTTGGTTTTTTTTTTTTTTTTAATTTTGTCTATATGAAATTGGTTTGGAGCATTATGCATAAATTGTAGCTTCTGATCAGCACGCTTAGCTGTGCAACACATATCTATCCTGAGAGTTGATTGTTGTGATCTAACCAGAAACAACTACAGCTAGATATTTCTCATTGTTGTTTGTTTAATGCTGTCATGGCACGTAGGTCCTTTTGTTCCATGTATGCATTTTTTTTCCTGAATTTCTCTAAGTCAGTGGCATTTGCTGTTCTGGTACATTAGGAACCAATGATTCCATTTAGTTCAATTATATGTTATTTGTAAAGACTTGACAATGTCCTGTCCTGATTTCAGTGTGGTGTTTTTCACTAATAGCTTTGTGGTCTCATATTTTCATGTAGTTTCTGAAAATACTGTAGCTTAATTATTTCACTAAAGTGTGTTTAAACTCTTTTCAGTTCATATGTATTTAAATTACTCAATTCCATATTTGTTCCTCTAGCATTGCTGTTCCGAAACAAACAAGCAAGCTTTCATTTGGCAGTATATTTGTACACGTATACATCTTGCTGTCTAGATCTGTGCTCACTTTGGGATGGTGACTTTAGCCATCCGGTGTTTCTGTCTATAATAATACATAGATAGGAACTGTTGTAAATTCAGTCTTTTATTGACTGCACAGGAGTGCTTATTCTTGTGTAACTCCTGTGCACATACTGAAAATTGACTGAATGGACTTCAGACTGTCCATGAAGTCTGAAGTTTGCTTTCAAATTGTTTGTAAGTTTATTGAGCTTACTTTTTCGAACTAACAGTGTCTACATGTTAGACTCTGTGATGCAAATTCACAGCCTTATGTAGATAAATTCAAAATGTGAAATACTTGCTCCACTGTGTGGATTAAATACTTTGTCATTAAAACATTTTTAATGTGTGACCTGAGAATGCACCTGGGGAGTCCGATGATACAGCCAGTGCATTGCCCACTCTTGCCTTGCTGCCTGCCAGCTTGTCTGTGTAGGGACTCCTCTAATTCATATTAGTCATTTCTGTACAAAATGTTACGCTGAAACATGGTGCACTACATTTGATCAGTAACTGTCCTACATAGGAAAATTCAGAGGGTTCATCAGGATTTTCTGTCTCTGAAGTCAGTGTATAGGAGAAGCAGGAGTTTATTTTTCAGCGGCTTTAGGGCTTGATTGCTGTAGTTGTGTGTTAGCGTTAATGACTTTTGAAAGGACTAGTAAAGGATTTTAGGGTTTGATGGAAAAGATTACACAGCACGAGAGCAGTATAGACACAACTCTGTTTGATAGCAGGGCTGTAAATGTAGCCATAGACTTTTTATTTCTAAAACATGCTCAAGCACAGTAGTGTAAGAGTACAACAGTGCAGAATCCATCTTCTCCAAGACTATGATTTTAACGCTTATCACAAAGAATAATTAGGAGAAAATGTACAACTACTGTAGATATGTTTGTATGTAGATAATACTACTTTTCTCATTAACTTGCTTTCTGTTCTGTCTACGTTTTTTAGATGCCAACTCAGTTTGTGGAGTCAGTTTTGGAAGTACATAGTAAATTTGTTCAACTCATCAACACTGTTTTGAATGGTGATCAACACTTTATGAGTGCCCTTGACAAGGTAACTTTTACTTAAGTAAAAAAGCCTTGGAAAGCAAAATGTGGGACCCTGTTTCAGCCTTACCAGATTTCTCCAGGTCATCAACACATGCTCAAAGATAGAAGTCTTATGCTGTTTTTCTAGTTTATAAATGCAATGGAACAAAAGAAAATACAGTGTCAGGGGAAAAGATATGTATGTGTGACACAAATAATTCAAACCACAAAAATGGAGCTGGCCTATTTAATGTAAATTTAAACGCAGATAACAAATAGACAAATTGTGGTATTTGGGAAGTTTGGTAACTCTTACATGCATTTGAACATGAATTTGCCTGCTGCCATAATGTTTAAACTCTGAGTGTGGTGGTATTACTTACACAGAAGCTTTGTTTAGATTTTTGAAGCTGACTACAAAGAGTATCTGGAAACTTATATTACTTCAGTCACTGTCACAGTAGCTCACTTTTTCCAGGGGAGAGCTGCACTCCAAGTGAAGTAAGTCCTTAGTGAAAGAGGCTTGCTGCTCTTAGCCATGAAGGTAGTTAAGATAACAGTTCTAATTGTTATAAATTTTAATAATAACGATGATGATGATAATAAAATTATAGATAACTGTTGTTATTATTACTACTATTATTATGTTGTTATTGTTATTATTATTAAATTCTGCAAAACATGCAGGGATTGAGTGGCTCCTCCTCAATAAAGAAGTGTGGTTTATCTAATCCATTTGTTAATTTCCCACTCTTTCCCATATATCCTTGTATCACTTTTCCTAAAGAATGTATTTACTACTTTCCTATCTATGTAGTTTTCTGTCCTAGAATGCATGCATAAATTTCAGTGCTCTTTTGTGGTGTATACAGTAATTGCAGTTTGTAGTTAGGGTCATAGCCTAAGCTTTGATAACTTTCAGCCAAGGTTAATCTGGAAAGACATAGTGATGAAGATGCCAGTAACAATATCAATAGTAGTTACCCATCTGTATTTGCGATCGAGAAAATAATTATTTAGTATTTTAAAACAAATGCTTATTTCAGTACCCTGATACATTTCTGTCTCAATTGCAATTAACAACACGTACCAGAAGGTGGAGTAATATGAGATTGACAGTTACATTTGCTGGCACATGGGCAATGTACTTTTTCCTTAAATCTGTCAATACATACTTCACTTCAGTGATCTTTATTACAGTAGGTATTTAAAATCTTAATCTGCTGTCAGTTTTTCATGTGCTATCAAAACTGCTATTGTTGCCTCCAGTATTATTGCAAAAGAGTGCTCTAAGCTTCAAAGAGTTTCATATTTCAACTCATGCATTCTTTTCTTACAGGAATTCTAGGGACTTATATCAAATATTGGAATGTCGAGGCATTGTACAAAAGAGTTGTTTATCAGTTCTTCTTTAGAATAGTAACAATAGTAATGTTTTCCATCTGTAGAAGGAACTATATTCAGAGGAACTATGTTCATATAATATTTTTGATTCGGTGTTAATTTAAATGTGATACATATTTTAGAAACTAATCTTGATGATTCTGATATCTTTGTTTACAGTTTACAATTCTAAACTGCCATTACCTCTTTCCCTTTCTTCTTCGTCATATTCAGGTTTTCTTCAGCTATTATATTTTTTGGACTGCAGTGCTTCACATTTCCACTTCGAACAGTATTTTTTCTCCTCTTTAGTCTATAAAAAAATCCAACAAACAAAAGATCTTTCTTTTCTTACTGTTGTGAGCACACCACAAATGTTTTTCAGCTCAAGATACTTGCTGTTGATGTAAGCTGTTGTTGATGTGCTGCTGCTCAAATCTGCTTCATCTGCAATTGTTCCTCAGTTTTTTCCACCCATACTTTTGGACCATATGTATTGCTGTACACCAAAATCTTCATACTTTTACATTTAAGTTTCTAATGAGAACTTAATTTGTTCTCCCGCTTTCTGCAATTAACTTCTGTTTCTCTACTCTTTCCACTTAAATCTCAACTGACAAATATTCAATGTGCAAATTCTCACAGAGCAGTAATTCAAATCCTTTTATTCATTGTTTCTTTTTTTTATCCTTTGATGTAGTTCGGTTTTACAGGGCCTCGAATGGTCTTTGCACATGTTTTGATTTCTTCAAATTTCATAAAAATTTTTAAGTCATTTACATTTTTTTCTCTTTGCTCTATGTTCCTGTGTAGGCTTTGACGTCAGTAGTTAACTATAGGGAGCCCAAGTCGATCTGCAAAGCGCCTGAGTTGGTAAGTGATGTGTATTATTGTAGAAAGTAATAACACATTTTTATAACTGTCCAATGCATTGGCACAGGGTCCATCACATGAATATCCCTTTCTTGCACTGAGTCAGCCTCAGGTGTATATTTCAGTACTAACAAATAACTTAACCTGCACACGTCTTCTGGGTGTGCAAAATTGGTGCAGCTGTAATTTTTGACACAGAATTTGTTTTTTCTGTGAATGTAGTATGTGTTGTTTACCAATGAATACAGCCCTTGTAATGTAACATGAGGCTGTAGACTGTGACTTATTTCATGCTTCAGCATTTGTGTAGAAGTTTGGAACACCTTGGCGTACATTTGTTCTCAAGCTTGACAAGTAGGTTTGGGTTTGTTTTTTCTTTTTTTAAACTTGAGCTGGCCAAGTACTGTGACAACTTGTTGAAGAAATCGGCAAAAGGAATGACAGAAAATGAAGTAGAAGACAAACTTACAAGCTTCATTACTGTTTTCAAATACATTGACGACAAAGATGTATTCCAAAAGGTAACTTTTGATATTCAATAGATGTTAAAATGTTACATTTAAAGTATACTTGAAGAACATGGTTATGCTTTTAAAAATGCTCATATCTGATTTTTCTTATGCAGTTCTATGCCAGAATGTTGGCAAAAAGATTAATTCATGGTTTGTCTATGTCTATGGATTCTGAAGAAGCCATGATTAATAAACTAAAGGTAACGTAACATTCTTCTAGTCCAGAATAAACATAGGAGTAAGTAATGTTGAGAGGGAGCAGCAGAGGGTGCCAGAGATAACTTCAAACACTAGATCCTGTTTCCAGTAGCTGAAAGGAAAAACTATTTTTTGGTAGTCTATGAAAGATATATGGCCAAATATCACCTAAGCAGTTGAGATATTTATGAGGTTTTGGGTAGTTTTATTAAGTGGGTTCAAACAATTCATATTTAAATTGTAAAAGTACTAAGGACTTTCATAAGCTAGCTCGGTCTTTCAGTTTTATAAAATAATATTGTTCATATAAATCAATGTATAGAAAGTGAAACTAAGATAAATCTGATAATTTTGTTTGTTTCCTGTTGTAACTAGTGTTCTTTGTAAATATTATAACAACACTTCTGCTGACTAGATTTTCATATGTTTGTAGTAAATGTGCATAATTTATATAAGTACTATTTTCACTGTGAAACCTGTTATGATATTTCTTCACAGCAAGCCTGTGGTTATGAATTTACCAGCAAGCTCCATCGAATGTATACAGACATGAGCGTTAGTGCTGATCTCAACAACAAATTCAACAACTTTATCAAAAACCAGGACACGATTATAGATTTGGGAATTAGTTTTCAGATATATGTTCTACAGGTACTAATGTATGTTTATTACTATTGAGTTATTTGTACTTAAATTTTTATGTTTTCATAACAAGTGAAGAATTTTTCTAATTATGAATACTTCTCATAACTTCTCTGACATCTTGTGATCATTGTGGAATAATTTATTTTCATAGTGTTTCTTTGTAAAGTTAACTCACTAGCACACTAAGCAACAGCAATGAAAAATGCCTTGTGTTCTTGTCTTGAATTAATACCTGTGTGGGGCATGCATAACAAACAGTAAAACTTCTGCTATAAGTTGAATGTCTTAAAGCACTATATACTCTATAGATCTGTTTAATAGTGTTATTTTTTTCTTAATATATATGTTGTATGAAAATGCTAATGCTTTCATTTTTCTTGATACCTTTAGGCTGGTGCATGGCCTCTAACTCAGGCTCCTTCTTCTACATTTGCAATTCCTCAGGAACTGGAAAAAAGTGTACAGATGGTAGGTTAGTAGGAGGCTTCTTGTAAACATGTGGAAAATGTAGAACAACTCCAATTAAAAGATTATCACGCTAACAGAGAAAAACCTGAGCTGCTTTATTTTGTTTGTAAATCAAGGCTATCCTGTTCCCAGTCCCTATGAAATTTGGAATAACATACTGAATTTATGTGTATATTTGCATAGCTTTTCTTTATTTTTCACATCTCTCTTCTACACTTTGTGATTTATGAGGGAGATACTAGTAAATACAATCAAATGAACTGGGTTGATTCTTAGCCTTAAAACCAATCCCTAACATTTAGATAAAAAGATTTTGTTTATAATATTAAGTCTGAGGAGGTTTAATAGCAGTTTAAAATGCAGATACAGGTTTCTTGTCCCATATTTTGTAGGAGCCATTCAAAATCTAGCTTCATGCAAACTTCTTTAAAGCTAATTTTATGGATTTTAAAAGCAGTAAAGGTTTTACTTTGGCTCTGAGATTTCTGGAGCTTTCTGTAATAATACATTTGTTTGAATGTTATACCAGCAGTGGTTTTCGTACTATATAAGCTTGTGGGTGGAGAAACACCAGATTCTCAAAGAGGTCACAAGGTCCCCCTTTTTGTATTTTCCTTCAATGTTAATCAGAGTTGCCAGACCAAATCAGAGTAAGCCAAATTGATGAGTACACAGTGTTGGTTACATGGGGTTTAGGGAAGTTTGATCCCATTTTGAGGAAAGGTTCTTGGAGTCTACTTAAGTTTCTCTCATTACCAGAAAGTAGTTAGACGTTAAATTAGGATTAGTCTGCAAGCCACACTTTCTTGTTTCTTTCAAATAGGAAGTATGGGAGCAAAATTTCTGAATTTTTTTATTTAAAAAAAAAAAAAAAAGCAGCAGCTTAAATACTAAAACTAAGGTTTGCAGGCACTTGCCAATAAATGCATCCTGGTTTCTTCCTCTTGGCTATCAGGCTAATATGTAGGATTAAGGTCAAGGGTTTTTGTCTGTTGGATTTTCAACCAGATTTCAGTTGTTTTCAGAGGACACCCAAGAGAATGCTGTGTCTACTAAGATGCTGCTAAAAATCTGTTTTTATGTTTCTTCTTAAATCAAAATGATCAGTCCCTTATTACATATGTTAAAATGAAATCTTGATTTTTACAAGCCTTGCCATAAATTTCCACTTCAGTCTTTGGAGAAATTATTCTTTTCCTTCCTGTCATAGTAACTTTTCTGCATTGATTTAGCCCACAGAATAAGTAAGCTGGAAGCCATGTCCTCAAAAGGTTGTTTGTTTTTTTTTTAAACATTTTGGAATATCTTCAATTATTCTTCAAAATCCAGCGCTTCCTTTCATTTCTTAGTCTCTCTCCATTGCTTGCTAGTTTCCAGGAGTGGCAGGATTGATCGATTGTATGTAATATGAGAATAAGATGATTTTGCTGCTTCTCTGTAAATTTGATTTTTCTTATCACAGTCCATGGGTCATTTATGCCCCTCATTCTCTTATTCTTTGTTGGTGAAAATAACATTTAAATGTGTATAAAAGAGCTTTGAAAGAATCTTCTAGGAATTGCGTTCCTGGAGTCTTCTGGAAAGTGGGTCTCATTTACAGCAGCCAGACTTAGGCACTTTAGTGCCAAGTTTCAAACTGCATAACTAACTTTCAGTTCCCCAAACCCTTTGTTTCTTAAAGAGGAGAGGAATTTTTAAGTTGTTTTTAAGGCTTTTTTGTTTTGTTTAGAGTTATTTTTTTTTTCATATTCCTATTCTGCTTTATATTTTTGTCTTTGTATAATTTAAATATCAGGGGAAAATGCTTTCCAGAATAATTGATGTAGCAGACTAATAAAACCTAACAACATTGATAGCTAAAACCTCCTAGAAATTTTAAATTCAGTAGAGTTGATACTTCTTTGGAACACTAGGTATTTTATGCTTTGAGAGTATGAACATGTCAACAATCTTTTTTGATGTAATCATCAAGGGCTATGCTAATATTAATATGTTCAAGTAGTTCAGTAAATGACTGATGTTCAGTCATCACCCATCTCCTAAGGGAAAATGATTGATCTGCGGTGTTAGCATCCAATCTGGTGAACATAAAACCAGTATTTCTTTGCTGGGTGGTAGTGTGATAATAAACTATTGTAAGTAGTTCTATGTGTGACTAATCATAGTTCATTTTGTTTTGCAGTTTGAATTATTTTACAGTCAGCATTTTAGTGGAAGGAAGCTTACTTGGTTACATTATCTCTGTACAGGTAAAAATAAGTGCTTTCCTAAACTTAGGCTCTATACAACTGACAGTTATTTGTTAAAAGTCCTTTTCAAATGGCAACAGACTTTGGAGTTGGAATATTATGTTGCATATGAAGTCAACTGACTTATTTTGCATTATAAAGTAATTTAATATTTGCTGCTTAGTATTTCCAAAAGTTATGTTTTGTAAGCTTGCATATATTTTCTGTGATTTATTAAATCCAAGTAGAACTAGAATTATACGTACTTAAATACAAAACAGCACTGCAGGACTGCTGACTTATTAAGAATTGCCCTGAAATTGTTTCTAAACTATCAGATGTCTCCTAGCTGAATACTAAATAATTTCAAGGATGCACATTGTACTGAGCAAAATACTCAGGTGTGTAAGTATCTAAGTAAATACACTGCACCTGGGGAAGAAAAATGTCAGGTACCAGTATAGGTTAGGGGTGGACCCGCTAGAGGCAACTACTGAAGAGAAAGATCTAGGGGTCCTGGTGGACAGTAAAATGACAATGAGTAAACAGTGTGCTCTTGCGGCCAGGAAGGCCAATGGTATCTTGGGCTGCATAGGGAAGAGTGTAGCCAGCAGGTCAAGGGAAGTCATTCTCCCCCTCTACTCTGCACTGGTGAGGCCACAACTGGAGTACTGTGTCCAGTTCTGGGCTCCCCAGTTCAAGAGGGACAGGGAACTACTAGAAAGAGTCCAGCGAAGGGCAACAAAGATGATTCAAGGATTGGAGCATCTCCCTTATGAGGAGAGACTGAGAGAGCTGGGACTCTTTAGTCTGGAGAAGAGAAGGCTGAGGGGAGACCTTATCAACGCCTACAAGTATCTCAAGGGAGGGTTGAAGGAGGAGGGAGCCAGACTCTTTTCAGTGGTTCCCACCGAGAGGACGAGGGGCAACGGGCACAAGTTGGAACATAAGAGGTTCCACTCAAATATGAGGAGAAACTTCTTCACGGTGAGGGTGACGGAACCCTGGAACAGGCTGCCCAGGGAGGGTGTGGAGTCCCCTTCTTTGGAGATTTTCAAGACCCGCCTGGATGCAGTCCTGAGTAACATGCTCTAGCTCTAGGCAATCCTGCTTCAGCAGGGGAGTTGGACTAGATGATCTCTATGGTCCCTTCCAACTCTAGAAATTCAGTGAAATTCAGTGAAATATATATCTTTACTTAGGTTTATATATACTATATAGAAATACAAGTGTAAAAAATATCTGAGATATATGAAATTATAACTTAGTATTAGTCAATTGCATTTTATTTCAAGTGCTTTCAGTATCAGGCTTTAGCGACTGAACACCAGAACATATTACATGGAGGTGCAAACCAGACCAGCATACAGGAATGTAATGTAATGAAAATTTAGTTCTGATAATAGAAGGTTACCATTAATTCATACTCGCCTTCTCACAGAAAATCTAAATGTGCTTTCAGCCAGATTTCTTCAGTGCTTTTTTTTTTTTGAATGTCAGTGGACTGTAAAGACTGTAAAGAATGTAAGAATATTGTGAAAAAATATTAATGGACAACCCTTTTATTTTGTTTTTAAACCATTCCTTGGAACAACTTTCCTGTAATCACTATTCTGTGATTCTGTGTAAGCTATTGCTAATTGAAGTTTATGCATTGCAATGCATTGAGGCTACTTGGAATTTCCTTTTTTTATTACTATAAATTATATTGCATTATTCAAATTTAACACTATAGGTTTCCTTTTTTCTTGAAAACACTGTTGTTCTAGTGTTCATAGTTAATGGGAGGGTTTTTTGTGGCAGACCACATTCTGTATGTGTACGTTCACAACATGGGTTTTCATCTTCCCATTCCAAGTGTTAAATGCATACTTTGGTTTGAATTGAATGTATGGAAATGTACACAGGCCTCTAGTAGATAGACTTCAGATGACTCTTCAGCACATTCCATTGGTTTATAAAATACTACTTGTATCATTACAGGTGAAGTAAAAATGAATTATTTGTGCAAACCTTACGTAGCCATGGTGACAACATACCAAATGGCAGTGTTGCTTGCCTTCAACAACAGTGAAACCGTCAGCTACAAGGAGCTTCAGGATAGTACACAAATGAATGAGAAGGAACTGACAAAAACCATCAAATCCTTACTTGATGTCAAAATGATCAACCATGACTCAGACAAGGTACGCAGTAATGATATAAAAAACTGTCATGTTTTCAGGCTTATGATTCTAGTATTTGTTGAGTATTTTTAATATAAAGGAATCCACAGTTTGTGTTTTAATTTTCTAAACTATTATTGACCCTTGGGAACAATTATAAAACTGTGTTTATAAGCAAAGAGACAGGAGGAAGTAGACTATTTGTGTCATATAGGCTCTCTATGCCTATAACAGCATGGTATGCTGAAAAGGTGATAATGCTAGGACCGTTTATTGTTTCTGTTGCCTTTCATCCATATGGCTTTAGGCTCACTGCTGTTGGAGGGGAATACTTTTTAAATACACCACTGTCAGAGCTGTACTCAACTATGGGAGGGAGCCTGAGTAGTAAACCAGAGAGTCTTCCAGAGATCCTAAAAAAAAAATGAAAAATGATGGGATTAAGAGACTGAAAGTAGCAGCAACCATGTTCTTCCTTGCTGACAGATTACAGGAGGGGGAAGGAAGGGGAAAAGGAGCAATGAGGGCTTGTGTGAGAGGATTTTTGCTGTAGTTTGCCAAACTATCACTCCATGAGTTTCATGAAATTCCAGTAATACCTGAGCTTTGTTTGTGCTTAAGGCAGTGGTTGATACAGATTCTGTGCCTGACTCTGTCTCACAGTTCTGTACGACCGACGTGAAACCAGTCCCCGTTTTCCCGTACAGCAAAGGGCACCGCTGTGTGTATGTGGGAAACACCACACAAGTGCTTGTGCGCGCCATATGAAATGCAAGTGTGCACTGCCAGCCCAGAAAGCCCCTTCTTTAGACAGTATCTAGGAATCTGTTCGCTTTGCTTATGAGAAGAAATCCAAAGCTGCTCTGATAGCTGCTTTTTTTTTTACAAAAAAAAAAAAAGGAAAATATTAGAAAATTGAAAGTGCGATCACAAGGAAGATCTGATGCTTGGCTGAAGCATAGGACATGCTTCCAATATCTAGATGAGCTCAGGTTGAACAGTGGCTGGGAAGATGTCTGTTAAACCATGGGTGAAATAAAACACTTTGAAAGTGCGATCACAAGGAAGATCTGATGCTTGGCTGAAGCATAGGACATGCTTCCAATATCTAGATGAGCTCAGGTTGAACAGTGGCTGGGAAGATGTCTGTTAAACCATGGGTGAAATAAAACACTGGTACCTATTCCAGAAACAGCGAGATTTTTCGTAATCTTAGAAAGTTGCCCATTATTTCAAGGATTTACATTTATTTGTCTGTTGTATAATGTTTGCCAAGTTTCTTTAAGCATATGTCATTGAAAATTGAACGATATAGCTTTTCAGCCCTCTTACCTTTTAATGTTTACCACTGCAATTTCTGCAGTTCTTTAACTTCCAGGCTATTGTATTGAAACATCTCTGCTAATTCTGTTTTCTTTGCGCTCCATCCAGCAATGTGAAAGTAGATCTGGAGACAATCTCTCAGCTTAGTTATTCGATAAGCCAGTGAACTTTAGGGGCTTAAGCAGTGAAATTAAATACACTAATTTCCCTTTACCTGTATCTGAGTCGCACAGAAAAGTGCAGTGTATTAAATGCTGTAGTTTGCTTTTGTGTGTTCTTTTTGGAGAGAGGAAAGAGAAACAAAGTTTTGGTAAAGTCTGTAATAGTTCATTAGAATCATGCTTTTTAAGTTCATGCACAATGCACAATTTATTTTGGCTTATACTCGACCATGTAAGCAGAATAATGCTAAAATTTAATGTTAGCTTATATTTCTTAAAGCTGTTGATCTTTGCTCTTTCATGTTAAATTTTCTATACTATGCCTGGATACTATAAAATATTACAACAAAGAATATTTGTTGCAGAATATAAAATTAGAATTAATATTATTTTGAGTATTTAGTATATTTAGAGTATTGACTGTGTTTACTGAAGTATTTGCATTTGAGGCAACCATGGTTTGGCAAAGTTCCAAAGTCTAAGAAGCCCAGTAACTTTATTCTGCTGGAAATTGGTAATACTTGTTTGGACTCTTGCCTGTCAAACTGCAGAGATCGGACAGGTCATCCTGTTAGTTGAGGGTGAAAGTGTTTGGACTGCAGGGAATAGTTACTATTAATTGAAAGAAATGGACTTTCACACGTGGAGAAGAATAGAGATTCTGACAGGAAAAAATTAAAAACATACAGATAGATGTGGAACTGTAGAAGTTGCAGTTTGTCAACTGTTTCTGCTATAACATAACAAAATGCTTAGATGTTTTTCCTTAACTTTTGGAAGGCCACATTAATAATAGTTGTGAAAGCAAGAGTGATCTCTCTGGAGATTTGTCCACAAATAAATGCAAACCCTATTTTCTTTGCAGGGAGAAAATGAGTTTAAATGGAGAGTGTTTGCGACTAAGATAAGAGATCAAAGTATTAGAACAGAAATTGCTTTAATCATATTGACTTGCTAACAATATTCATGTATGTCAGGGTTCTTTATAGTGTTTTCTAAAATAGACTTGATTTCTAGGTTAGTTAAACTGTAGCTTAAAAAATTAACCTGGTTCAAGTGGCATTTTAGAATTTCCACCTACAAATCTGCTGAAATTGTTTGTATGTGTGCAAACCTCCAACTGTTTTTTCAAAGAAAATTGTTGTTATTTTCTAGTTCCATTTCTGATTTTTTAAAATGATTCTTTGTTGCAGGAAGATGTAGAGGCAGAGTCTACGTTTTCATTAAATATGAACTTCAGCAGTAAACGAACAAAATTTAAAATTACTACATCAATGCAGAAAGACACACCACAGGTAAGTATTCTTTGATGTTTCCAGGTTGAACAGCTTAGGAAACTTTATTTTTCTAAAATCAAATTTGTTTTGGTTTGATGTAAGCAGATATGAGAGTCCCTGTGTAAGGTTTACATCACCATAAAGAAATTGTGTACGCTTAAAGCTTAACCACTGCAAAGAATTTTTTTGTACTTAAAATATAGGCAGGAGGAGATGGATTAGAGAGTAAGAAAAAAAGAGAAGAAAAAGATAAACAAGAGCTATTCCTCTTGTACCAAATGGGATTGACGTTTAGCTTGTTTTATCTAATGAGACTTTTTTATTGGTGGTGTTTCAATAAAAGCAACTTATTCCAGGAACAGCAGAACCTGTCCTGTTTTGCTATGATTTTATGTCTTTTGCCAACTGAAATTAACACCAGTGTTGATAATGTGTTCCCTCTGTATCTCCTAAGATGTAGGATTTTGTAGAAGAGATACATGTGCTTCTGAACTCAATACATTGTAGTAAAATATGCCTGCCTTTCTCCCTAGCAAAGTCACTGATTTGGATGTCTCTCTCTTACCTTTCTGCTGATTTTGATGAAACCTGGTATTCTTGATTTACAGGTGTACTTTGCCTGGAATTGAACTTCACCTAGAAATTTGTATTAATGGACTGATTTTAATACAGTAAAAAGTATAGATTAAAGATACTTTTGTGAAGTGTTTATTAACCTTGCAATACTTTAAGCATTACTGTACTTCCTATGTTGCAGGAGATGGAGCAGACCAGAAGTGCTGTAGATGAAGACAGAAAAATGTACCTTCAAGCTGCTATAGTCCGTATCATGAAAGCACGTAAAGTGTTGCGACATAATGCTCTTATTCAGGAGGTAAGAGAAGGTCCTCCTCTTAAGCATGATTTGATGAAAATCATGATAGTTGGGTAAAATACCTGGCCACAAACTCTCCTATGTCGAAACTAATATTTCAATGAAAGTAATGACAACTTCATTGGAGTCTACTTTGAATGTCAGTACTGGAGCAGTAGCTGGGATCCCTCAGTCTCATAAATGTGTCTCAGCACTAAAGCATCAAGTGCTGCTGTGCTTGCTCTTTCCTGTGGGCTGGCTCTGTGCTGATAGCAGTCATATCCTACGAGAATCATTGCCAGAGCTATAAGTTCAATTGAAAACCTGAGTATGGATATTCTAGGTATAGAATTTCCACAGAAGCACCTAGCCAGTTTGGGCTCTAATCATAAAGTTGGATTTTATTCTAATTCATGGCTTAAATTGTAAAAGTTGCCTGGGTATGTAGACATGTACATCTTAATCTTTTTCTGTTGAGTGGTACAGTTTTCTAGGTTTTTTCAGATTCTAGATTAATGATCTGTGAATTGTCACAATCTGGCTGGGAGGGAAGTGCTATTTATTTCACTTTTCTCCCACTTTCTCTTCAGTACTAGTTGCCTGCCTAATCGTATTTCTTATTCCAACCCAACCTTTGCTCCTAACAACCAGTTCCCAGTTTTAGTTTTCTTAGCCTTCCGGGGCATTAATTCTTCAGACTAATTGGTGTCTCCTGAGCCTTGCTGGATAGCCTCAGAGTGGACTGGTAGGAGAAGGAATAGCAATTCCTGCTTTATTGGACCATTTTGAGCACGGGTGGAGGCATCCAGTCATGGTGATGAAGGAAGCAGTCTGCCACACCCAGCATTTAATTTTTATTTCCCCAAAAATATAAGCAGCTACAGAGAGCTTGTAAACCCAGAACTTGCAATGTGAGATATGTGAAAGGCTTTGGATGTTGAAATAGTGCTTGTACACAAATATCCTGAAAGCATATTTGAATATCTAAAACATGAGGCAGCGTAGGTCTTGGTTACTTCTCAAAATCATAGAATCATAAAATGGTTAGAGTTGGAAGTCACCTTAAACATCATCAAGGTTTCCTGTTACTTAAATCATCCATGCAATTATCACAGAGTGGTCATGGTTGGAAAGGACTCTTGGAGATCATCTCCTCCAGGCCTCCTGCCAGAGCAGGCTGGAGAGCAATACAACCAGGCGAGTTGTGAATATCTCCAGAGAAGGAGACTCCTCAGCCTCTCTGGGCAGCCTGTTCCAGGGCTCTGCCACCCTCAAAGGAAAGAAATTTTTCCTCATGTTGAGACGGGATTTCCTGTATTACAGTTTGTGCCCATTGTCCCTTGTCCTGTCACTGGGCACCACTGAAAAGAATCTGGCCCCATCCTCTAGACACCCTCCCCTCAGATATTTATAAGCATTGATGAGATTAATTATGATGAAATCCTGTAATAATTTGCAGTTTAAAGTAGAAAATGGTAGGCAAGCTGTGTTTCATCTTTGAAAGTACTTTTTTCTCCCTACTTTCAAGTTCTTAGAAAAAGTTTTCAAAGTGTACTTTGCTTGAAACCAATTTATAAGGGTGGAAGATATTACAAATTTTTATGTTTTGGAAACAAAAAATCCTTTCTAGTTGCTTCTTCCTTTGTTTAACTCTGGAGGCACTAACTGACATGCTTCTGCTGCACTTTGCTATTGCAGTTCTCCTGCAGAATAGTACAGTCTATTAACATCAGGAACTTTTTCACGTTTTGCAAGAAAAGTAGATATTTTGACTGTTACTCAATTAAAAACTAAGTAGACGGTGAAGTTGGTGCTCCACTTATCACCAGCCACATCTACCTGTATTGGTTTTTTAGCTTTTAACTAAATTTATGACACTTTTGAAAATCGTACGCTTTATCATTTAGTCTTTAGTTCTCAGTTTTGAATACAACTTATATTCTAGGTGGATTAGAGCATGTAAAACTGAAGGCTAGGCTTATAAATAATTGATATCTGTGCTGCAGTATAGTGTGGGGACCTCATGTAGCCTTAATTGAGCAATTGTGAAACCTCAAGCAATAAGGTTAAGCAGTACAAAAATCCATTAGGGTTAATTTTTCCTTCTTTTATTCACTCTGAATTAATTTGTGCCAGTCTCCATGCTGCCGCAGCTAGATTCTTGCTGAGACCTGAGATTAATTCTTTAAAATGTTAGGTGTCTTCTCTACAGTCTGTGATATAGATAAAACCCTTATGCACTTCAGGTTTTAGAGCAAATTGTGGGGAGACAGGTTTTTATATACTTAATGCTTAAACACAAATATGAAAATCTCATGTTAAGTGGAAATTTTACCTAATTATGTCTGCATTGAGCTCAGTAACTTGTTTTGCTTCGTGTTGTATGAATAAGGCCAAGCTGCCAGGAGCTTCTGAGTTGAAGATGTTCAGCTTTCTCACTAGACTGACCTTTATTAAAAAAATGAGTAACCATCACTTCTATTAAACTTTTAGAGTATGCATAACTAACTTCTTGGCTGTCCAACTTTTTTTTTTTTTTTCCCTGCTAACCTTGTAGTAAGACTTGATTTACTGTCAAGAGCCTTCTTATTTCTTAAAATACTTATTTCTGATATTGTTACTAATTATGGTGATGTATAAACATAGCTCTTGTTATTTTTATCATAATGCTTATATACTTAAAAATAATGTATTCACTTAAAATTTCTAGCCTGACTTCTTGAGGAGTAAGAATGAATCTTTTGAAAGGAAATCTGTTTGCTATGAATGGTTAATATTTTCTTACCTCATTCATATCGTTTTCTGATACATAAGGGCAGAATTATACTGTTGTTAGAGAGATGATTGAAAGACTCCCAGCCTTAGTGTAATTAGCTCTGATTCTAGCAGCTGGACTATAGCACCCCACATTTCATTTAGGGTGAGGTGTCCAGGAAAATACTCAAGGCCCTGTGCTAGACCTATATATGTCAGCCTGCAGGCTTTGCCAAATAGTTAATTGTTAGATATGCCCTGATAGCTCCATGCTGCTCCACTTCCAGAACAAGGTAGCTTTTCCCTTAAGTTAGATGTGCCCTGATAGCTCCATGCTGCAGTCACTTCCAGAACAAGGTAGCTTTTCCCTTAAAATGAAGAAGGTCAGTGGAAGTAGTGGAGGGGAAAGGTCAATGCAGTCATTGCCAGAAATTTATTTTTTTATTCTGATCATCAGGTATTTCTATGAAGGTCAATTGCAGTCATTGCCAGAATTTTTTTTTTTTATTCTGATCATCAGGTATTTCTATCCATCCTTCTTGTATTCTTTTTGATTAAAAACAAAACCAGAACACCCCGACCAATACAGAATTCTATCTTTTGTTCTCTCTGTCCTAAGTAAATATATGGAGTAGGATGATGACAATCAGTTTGAGTGTAGGGCTGAAGCCAGGTGAAATCTGAGCAGATCTATTAGCTTGTTAGCACCGAGGTCCTTCTCATTTGTGCTGCTGTGGAACATACCAGACCCTTGGCTGCCAGCCCAACAAAACTCGCTCTTTTGAGCTTTTTGTTTGCTTTGCTGGGTGAGTTCTACCTGGTGAGCTCTGTTGGCTCACAGAGGGCTCTAGCAAGCTCTAGGGCTGGGACAAGGCCAGCCATGGAAAGTTGTAAAGAAAACAGGAAATCCAGCTGAAATAAAAATCACTTTCTTCACAGAATTAATGAGAAACTATAGGCAAAATATATTGTGACACTTTAGTAGTAAGATCTTTTGTTTGCCTCACCATTGCTAGGAAGTGGAGAGGAGAAAGTAATTTTCTTTGCTGCAGGTTGGCTACAAGAGTAAAATGTGAAAAAATTTTGAAGTTAATAGATCAATATATTCTGTTACTACACACCATTTCCTCCTCTTTTCTACAATGGGCAAAACTGAGAACTATTAGGAGACACCTAAAGTTTTACCTACAGCTGCAGTTCCTTCCACAATCACAGAATCACAGAATCTTAGTGGTTGGAAGGGACCTCTGAGATCATAGACTCCAACCACAAAAAAAAAAAGAAAAAAAAAAAAGAAAAAACCCCAAAAAAACACACCACACCAAACGCCCACCAAAAATACCGCATCCACCAACTAAACCCCACACTGAACACCTCACCATAAACCAATAACCTTGGGCACTAGAGCATGCCCTGAAGAGCCATGTCTATACGTTTCTTAAATACCTCCAGGGATGGTGACTCCACCACCTCCCTGGGCAGGCTGTTCCAGTGCCTGACCACTCTCTCAGTAAAGTAATTCTTTCTAATTCTTTCTAATATCTAATCTAAATCTCCCTTGCTGCAACTTCAGACCATCTCCTCTGGTCTTGTCGTTCGTCCTTTGGGAGAAGAGGCCAACACCTGCCTCTCTACAACCTCCTTTCAGGTAGTTGTAGAGGGCAATGAGGTCTCCCCTCAGCCTCCTCTTCTCCAAACTAAACATGCACATATAGATTTGTTTTTAAGATAAATACTTTTTTACTGTATGTATTGCAAAGTTCCAGCGTAGCCAGATGGAGTTGCCAAATCATACAGATTGTATCAAATTGTGTAGGAAAGGAGGTCAGTGGAAGGGGGGCTGCATTTACAGCTCCCAGGCAGCTGAGCCTTCCAGGACCAGGTGTAAAGCACCGCATGGGCTGGAACTTAGAGCACGACACATCCAGCTCCCATCTCATCACAACGCCAGTAAAGTAGCGTAACTTTACAAAATGGTTACTGCTTTGGCTCTGTCTTTTGTGATGAAAAGTGTCAGTTAGGGCTTTTCGGCAAATTTCCTGAAAATGGAGTGTTATTTTTTTGTCTTGAAAATTTGATTGTCTAGTGTGCTAGAATCTCTGAGGATAAGTTGTATTTTTAATATATTTAAACTGTGCTATTCAAGAATGAATAAGGTCTTTATAGTCATATTTTTTGGTAATTTGCTATGTACTTGTTTCCATGTGTTCTAAACATGTCTTTTTAATGCTATAAAGAACAGGTTTCACAAACCTTTATTAAATGAAAATGTCTTCTCTATCCTTTTATGATAACAGAAGTGGTGATGCGAAGAAAAATGTGTTTCAACTTCAGAGATAGTTTTGAAAAATACGATCAAGTGAAATATAACCATTCAGAATGGTATAAAGTATTATGAAAACTAAAGTTAACACATTTTTCACACATTTAGTTTTCAAATAAGACTGATGTAATTTGGGAGTCTGTAAACAAAATAGTCCAGACCAATGAAAGTACATAAACAGCAGTAAAAGGGACCTTATGTAGGAAGAGAAGTCAGTTGGCAGAGTCATCACAGAAAGGCACGTGGTGTTTTACAAAATTTTCACTTTACTTAAACTGTGACAATAATCAAGTGAAGAAATGTGTTAATATTAGAATAATTTTTGACCTGAATATTTATCTTCATTTGTATTTTGACAAATTAAGCAAGCAAGAGAACTGAAAAGATCTGGTTAACATGCAGGCAAACTAAGTGGTGAGCTGAGCAGTCAGTTTAAATGTTCTGACAATAATGTATGGAGACTATTTGTTGATTGTTATAAATTAACTATCCCAGGTTTATTTAATACTGTTTTTAAAAGAAAAATATACTGAATTTGCCTTAAAGCACTTAGCAAATATTTCAATAGTATTTATAACTGTTGTAAATAACAATAATACAAAACAACGTTTCTTTCTTTTGCAGGTAATTAGCCAATCAAGAGCTAGGTTTAACCCAAGTATCAGCATGATTAAGAAGTGTATTGAAGTTCTGATAGACAAACAGTACATAGAGCGAAGCCAGGCCTCTGCAGACGAGTACAGTTATGTAGCATGATGTCGCTCCCCTGCAGGTATGATTGTAAGGAGATCATTGCTGTCACTGTTTGGTGTGTTCCTGTGGGAAGAGGCAGGCCTGTGCCTCCATAATTGGTCACTTGGCAGCCCCTGTTTTTCTGCTGTTTACAACATCACCAGTGCCATGTCATGAGCGTCAAAGAAAATGCCTATAGATATTTCAAGCTCATGTCATTATGACATTTCTTAAAACTTTACTAAAAGAATGAGTGAAGTATTGCTGAAATGTGGAAAATTGGTTGGGTACCATGCTTTTTTTTTTCCTCCCCTTTCACGTTTGCAGTTGATGTTTTTTAATGTATCTTAAGACAAAGTAAAAAAAAAAAACCTAAATATTGTAATATGACAGATAACCTAATAATTGTATCTACATTAAAATGTAAAAAAAATGACGAACATGATACTGCTGCTTGTCAAATAAAAAAATAAAGTTATATAATGTGTCTCGAATGATTGTAGAAATGGATATAGCATTAATGTCTGTAAATATTATTCAGACCTAGAAGAGTAAAAATAATGTTTTGTGTTTGGGTTTTGGATAACCTCAGAAGTAGATCTGACGTAAGAACAATTTTATATAAAACAATACCAGGTATATTATGTTTGATGTGATTATAAAAAAATATTTATGGTTAAGTGCACATCTTGTTTTCTTGAGATTAGGCTAACTTACATTCTTAGTGCCTGAAGGCCTACTCCGTGTCTGTTAATCTCACACTGTAGGGATACTTACAAGAGAAAATAAACAGACATTTGAGGGGATTTAAGTTGTGTAGTTCACAAAGAGTTAGGAACGGTTATGAACATCAAAGATACAGTTCAGTGGCTTGTGAAAACACCCTATTAATGGGAAGGAATATAGCAGACTGGTAATTGAAAAATATTGTTTCCCTAATGCATTGGGTAGGAATACTACATGGATAAGTACCTATGTTTGTTCCACATCAGCCCATACTGTTTTTTTTTTCTTGTTTTCTCTCCTAACTCACATGGCTGTATTGATCATATTTTGTTTTCCCCTGACCCAACTAGATTTTTAGCTGTTTGGGTGAAACAAGAAATCCATGGGGTATTTTATGTCCTGCGTTGTTTATCGGAGTGGCATGGTGACTGTTCACTCTCACATAAGTATGATTTTAAAAGACACTAACTCTACCACTGGAAATAATTGGAGTTTAGGAGCATTAAAAGTGTGAACACACTGAATGCCTGCTGCAGAAAAGAGCTTCCTTATGACTATGCCTGCAATTATCATTGACAGGATAAATATTAAGTTGGCTTTAAATGTTCTATTTTTGCCAAATTTTATTTCTGTGCATATAAAAGATATATATACATAGATATATACTATTTGCAATATTTTTTTAGATTACGTGATATATCATCACCTACTCAAAGTCCACAGATCAAGAATTTAATTTTAAAGGAAAAACCCTTTGAGGGGAGCTTTTTCCTTCTTTTTTTGTTTTCTGGTTCTTCACTGTATGAAAGGTTTCTCTCCTGATTCTTGCTGTCTCTTATTTCTTAAGTGGCATCGCATTCATATATCATCTGGAGGGTACAGTAAACTTTCTATAGTTAACTAGGAAATGCATCAAGAAGTGGTAATGTTTTCCTTGTGTGGATTTTGCTGAGGGTGAATAAAGGGCAGTAAATAATGAAGGGCACTAAACACTTCTATATTTATGGTATTTTATACCACTACACTAAGATCTAGATTTTTTTTAAATGGATTTATGTCTTAAATAAGTGATATATTTTTTTTTAACTAATTGTAATGTGGTGCAGTAGGTTGTTGTCTAAAGTGGTAGTTCAGAGTTGTGTTGTGTGTTGGGAGACAGCACAGGTGCTTATAGTGTCACTAAGTGTAGTAAACAGGAGACACATTAGCATAGATTTTGACTGGAGTGACTATTAATCTGTTTCAGTGTGAAACATTTCTGTGCTTTATAAAAAGTAATTCATTACTTCTTATGAAAAAAAAATAGAATAGAGGAATATTTTATGACACAACAGAAAAAATATTGCCTGAACATTGAATCATCAGATCCTTTCTCCAGAAAACAAACTGACAGTGACACCAAAGCTTCTGGAAACAAATGTGTTTTATCTTGTAACTTCTGTATGAGTCAAGAGATTTTAAGCTTGTTTCTTCATAAAAGGGTTAATAAAAGCTTTATTTAAATATAGATTGCAGTAGCAAAATTTTAAGACTGAGTTTGAAAAAGCCGTAACAAATTTATTTTCAGAATTACTTCATAGACAAAGCAAAAACTTTGCTGTTCTAGCCCAAACGTGTAAGGTTTTAGCATTACCTTATCTCTGAATTTTTGCATACCTAAAACATCAAAAGTAGTATTTTGTTTTTCAGATAAGCATGCTGCTCAGTTGAGACATGTTTAGTGCGTTAAAAACATTCATATATTTCAGCGCAGTTGGCATCCCCAGACAATGTCTTTCATAATTACACACAAACTCAGTCTTTTCAGTGCCTCTTGGGAAACACGGCTGTAGCTGGGAAACGATTTGAATTCTATTTTATAACTCACGCCTTCCCCCCAAGGAAGAAAGTAGTGCAGAGACTGAGCCCTCTGCGGCTGGGTTAGGTCACTGGAGCCTTTGCTGGCAGCTCCTGGTGTCGAGCTGCAGCCTGGCAGCTCGGGACAACTGACAAGTGTCACGTCACAGCACAAAGTGCTGATAGGCATTAACGGGGGGAGGGGGACAAATTATAAAAAGAGAAGGCATCCAAAAATGCCCTGTGCTTTTAATTGTTCAATAGAAGGAACTGGTATAACTGTACAGATTTTTTTTTTTTTTTTGTTATAACCCTGTTACCATGTATGACCTGATAGTTTATTGGGAGCCATACGGCTGAATCTGGAAACATGATTCCACGTATCTCATGGATTTCTAATACCAAAATGCATTTTACCTCTAGTATTGAGTGTTAGTGATAATTCTTATGCCAATTGAAAATGTGTTTCTATGATGTTTTAACTTGTCTTCAGGTTGATTATCTTACTCTAGGAAAGAAAAATGTGTACCTGTATTTCAGTGTGGTGATACATACAGGGCTGCTGGAGCTATGAAGGTATCACCACAACATGAGAAAACGGTTTTCGAAGCGGAGACCATCATTACTTTTAAAGAAACTTTTCAATGAATACATCACAGGAGCAGAGTACAGAATTTGGTCAAGGGATAAATACATTTTATAAGCTGATATCTTTCATCTATGCTTAGAAAGCTATTTCTTATCTTTAATTTTAAAAGCAAATCTCACAATATAGTATTGATTCTTGAGCAGAATAATTTGTACCCTAGGGAAAATATGTTAGGACTGTCCATGCTTTACAAATACAGTAAATACCTAGAGGTAATTAATCTAAGGTTTACAATCTATGAAAACATATTCTCCAGAAACAATTGTTCTTCCACTGAGTGTCTTCTCTTTTTACAAATCTGAAGTTACCTTACTGGCTTACGGTAAGTTGTACTGCACTTCCTACCTGATAACAACAGAGTTTCTGCAAGTTTCCAGGCAAAAGAAGAGGAAGGATCAAAACACTGTTTGTGTATAACAATTTTAAAGCAATGCAAGACTTTGCTAAAAACAAGTAAGTGGGTGTGTGGTTTTAAAGAGGGAGGGTGAACAAATGTGATAGTAAAAGTAACCAGATGCGTGTAGCTTGGATGTGAATTTCTTATTGTCTCTCTGTTCTGTGGAATTAGTAATTGCACCAATATGGGAAGAAAATAACAGCCAGCAAAAGGAAAGAGGAAGATGAGGAGGTTGGTTAGTTGGCCTCCCTTTTGGAAGTATTGGAGTTGTATTTTTGTGTTCTTTATTTTTGAATAGCTTAAACGTGCCTATGTTAATTAACAAGATTACTGTTCAGTTCAGTATGAATGATTGCTTGTCATACATTTGAGGAAGAAGTGTGCTATTCAAAGCAGCAATGTATTTGACATAATCACATGTTGGTGCTGCTCCCATCAACCCTCCCAGGAGCACGCAGGAGGAAGACCTGAAAGCTCCCTTAATCACCCCATTAAGTCCAGTCTCCGTATGTAACTGAGAAGTGAAGGAGACTCCTAGACCTGAGAAATAGTACAGAGCAAGTCGAAAGGTACTTTAGTCACTTCTAAACCAGTTCTAGTAGTTTAGGGAACTCCTTCCACCATTCATTTCCACACCCTCCTTATGACCCTTGTGACTGCAGGCTGCCAACGGTGACATAAGCAGAACTCAATGCCCTCTTGGTTGGTTGCTTTGACTGGAGTAATGAAGAGCTTGCATTAACACCTTGTGAGTTCCTCCTGCTCAGCTGGGGAAGGGAATGGGTGTGTGCATTACAAGGCTATTACCATATGAAGTAAAAACTTTACATTTGAGCCACTGATGAACTTGCTGTATATGAATTCTTTCTAGAGCTTCTGGACTACCCAGCAATCTCCTCCGGTATTTTATACTGAGGAGGACTATACTACCTTTGTGTGTCCTTCTGTCCACTCTTCCACTGAGAAATTAAATCATACACTGATGTTGGTATAAATATAGCTCTCCTAATCTTCCCCAATGTAGTGTTACATGCCAGGAACAGAAAACCATGTATTTTGGGACTACAGAAAGTAAAGGAGAATGGACAAAACACTTCCCAATGTCTGCATAGCCAAAGCATCAATTCTTTCATTCTGACTCTCTCTAACCCAGTGTTTGATATGTCGGTGTTTACAGGAGCAGTGCATACATAAGGAGATTGTTTGGGCGTGTTTTCATCTGAAAGAGGCCTTGTTCTTAGTGTCATCATTGTATGGTAAACACTGCCATTATCACCTCTTAGTGGAAGCTGGTGGTTCTGACGTGTATCTCAAACTTTTTTTCCAGCAGCTGTGCAGGGTAGCGCTGCAGTTGCCAACAGTTATGAAGAGAAGTGGTTTGAGGACAGTTTTGAAACTCAGTAGGTTGCTGTTGCCTGTTCTGGAGTGTTGATTCTATCATCTAACTTACTAGGAACATATGATAAAAAGGGTAACGCTTCTCAGGTAGTTTTTCACATTGTGTTGAACAGTTTCAGTTCAGTTTCGTAAGATGTACTTGGGCTGTTTTCTTAAAAACTCTGTGCATGTGTCCATTTTCCTTCTCTCCAGCCACCACCTTAATAGAATTTATGATCAATAAAACTTGAATTTAAGAGATTAAGAACCTCTGTGCATGTGTCCATTTTCCTTTCTTCTCTCCAGCCACCACCTTAATAGAATTTATGATCAATAAAACTTGAATTTAAGAGATTAAGAAAAAAATAATCTGAAATTCATGCAACTTACTTGCTTCCCAAGGCTTTTTGTGTACTTTTCACTGCAATATTCAAGGGACTAAAAAAACATGAACTGGGACAAGGGATCTGTAGCTTAGTCAAGAAGCTGTTGCTGTGGGAGCGGGGGCT